TTAATGAAGTAAGAAAAACAAACTGTCAGGAGCTTCACCATTAAGCTTTATTTGAGCCGGAGGAAAGATCTTTATTTGCCGGTCGAGGTAGACGATTCACTTGATGGGAAATTCTGACGGTCGTATGTGGTGTCGGCGGTTTGTCCTTCTAGAAAGAAAAATACATGTATTTCCCGCAAGAACTCCACCCCTCCCCCCAAAAGGATAAAAAAAATCAATTGAAGTTTATGTTACACACAAGATACACAACGATAATTTTTTCTCCATTTGGGGGGGGGGGGGGGGGGTGAGATTGGACTGCATCCCTAAGGCTTCCGAACTCGAAGCGCGAGGATAGGTAGCTCTTTGACCAACCATGCCTCTCATACGACTGTGCTGTTGCTACATTTCATTGGTGCCATTCGCCTGGAACGGTTTTGTTTGATTGCCTGTTTGCTACAAAGTCACTCGCTACTGTTCCAATTTCCCTGTCATCTCCCTGCGAGACGAAGGTTCTGTCAACGTGCACCCCCTCCCCCAATTGGTTTAAAGAAAGCACGCAGTGGGAAGCAGAGAAAAGCAAAGACACGAACGCACATACCAAACACCACCATGGCGGACCAAGACCAGGTGCCAGGTCCCCTTCCCGTCATTATCATTGGCGCGGGAGTCAGCGGCTTGCTGCTGGCGCAGTACTTGCGCAAGACAACGGTCCCCTTCCGCATCTACGAGCGCGACGCGGACCTCACCACCCGCGGCGTCGGCTGGGGCTTGACTCTACACTGGTCGCTGCCAGCGCTGCGGTCCCTGCTGCCCGAAGACTTGGTTGCCCGGCTGCCGGAGGCTTACGTCGACCGCGCCGCCGTGACAAGGGGAGAGGCCTCGGCGTTCCCCTTCTTCGATCTCAGCACTGGCGAGCTCAAGGGTGCAAGTCCCCGCGCACCAGAGAGTTTGAGAATCAGAGTCACGAGGGAGAGGCTAAGGCGGTTAATTGCCACAGATGTCGATATCCAGGTATGCCACATCTTCTTGGACTCGACATGGTGCCTGGCAGCATGCATTGATGCCGCTACCGAAAGCAATGCTAAGTCGCAGCGCAGTGGGAAAAGAGCCTCGCAAGGTACGAGGAGAAGCAGGACTCGGTCGACGTTTTCTTCGAAGATGGTTCATCGGTGACCGGTCGCATACTTGTTGCATGCGACGGTGGCCCATCTCGTGTCCGACGCCAGTTGTTCCCGGACCAGCACGCGAGATACCAGATCCCGGTCCGAGTGCTCGGGCTGAAAGTGTTCCTGTCGCCTGATCAGATGGCACCAATGCGAGAGCTCGACCCCTTCTTCCTTCAAGGGACGTCGTCTCGCAACGACACGTTTCTCTATTTCAGCAGTAAGTTTACCCACGCCGCATTTGATAGTTCCTGGTGTTTCCGCCATGTTTCCAGTATGCGCCGTTTAAGGTTTCGACCTAATGCTGGATTGGGATGTCCCTGATTCCCTCAATGCTACCTTGTGCAGGGACAACCTACTGTTGATATTCCATTTCTTCAGTAAATTGCCCCCGCCGGTGCATTTGCGAACCAAGTAACAAAGTAACAAAAGAAAAAGAAAAAAACAAACTAATTCGAACGTTTTCCCGCCTCGTAGTGCTTGGTGCCCCAGGGAACAACGATGAGAGCACGGGGCAGTACAGTTGCCAGATGTGCATATCTTGGCCGAATCGACCGGGATTCTTGGGCAAACAGGAACCGACGGATTATCCTCAGACGAACGCCGGCAAGATCGAGCTCATCAAGTCGTTTGCCGAAGGATGGTCGGAGCCGTTTCGCGGCATTGCACTTGGAATCCCTCATGACACCGACGTGAAACAGCTTGACCTCTACGACTACCCTCCGCCAAAGGGACTAAGGTCCAAGGGAAGGGTGGTGTTGATGGGCGACGCCTTCCATGCTATGGCGATGTGTAAGTAAAGCGTCATGCTCTTGGAACCGCCCCCTCAAGCTGCTTTAAATGGGAGACGGCTTTGTTTTCTCCTCTTGGACCTATCTCGTGATAACAGTCAAGGTATAACAGCTAACGGAACGCATAGACCGAGGTGAGGGCGCCAACCACGCTATTCTCGATGTCCTAGACTTCGCGGAGAACGTGACACCCAAGCTAGACGCTGGCTTCACAGATGTGAGAACTGCCATCGATGCCTACGAGGATGAAGTCGTTGCCAGAGCCCGACCAGGTGTGCTAGCTTCGAGACGGGCCTGCATGGATGCGCACGATTGGCCCAAGATAAGCCCTACGAGCCCCCTGCTGAGCAAGCGGGAAATGAAGCTGCACTTTGACGAGGAGTAAAGATATCGGAAGATATAGCACAGATTAAATACCAATTGAGGAAAATTAAGACCGAGGACATAATGTTCTCTAAAACGCGGATCAGCATCATACTGTACATGTGGATATCTTTGGTGTCATGATAGCACGCAACTGTCCCCAGCTGCACTCCGCCCCTCCCGCGCGGTGGAGAGCGATTTGCATGAGTCTGTGCTGTATCTGACTAGGTCCCCTTCGCTTCCGTCCGTGATATGCCCGATCTTGGTATAGTTTACTTTGCCGAAGCGGAAGAGTTTGTGCGTGAGATCCATCCAGATCACCGAAGTCTACAATAGGAAGTGACCGCTGTCCAGCAGTGAATTCCAAAACGTGCCAAAATGCCCCATCATTAGTGCAGCTAATCTGATGCCCATCTCATTATTATCTGCGGAGTTATAATGTACGTTTCCTGTACAATTGCTGTTCTGGGGAGGGCATATTGCTTAAGCTATAAGCGCTCAAAGATCCAAATCTCCCGAATCTCTTGGTCGTGGCCCAGACTAGCCAGACTTGTCATCCATCTTGTCTTCGACCCGAACGCTGTATGTCATAGACTTCACAATGTTTTCCTGAAGAATATTCTCTTCGCTGTCGTTGTCGCCCTTGGTGTTGCTTGCCGAACCGAAAACGCTCTTGTTGTTGTTGACCTCGCTGAGCTTGTATCTCTCGGCGCCCTTCATCTGACCCCGTCCGTGCGAGGAGCCGGCTGAGTACTTTGAACGGTAGCTCTTCGCCTTCCTCATGAATACCGGGGCGAGAAACGGCAGAGACGACACAATGTTCTGCTCGGGATTCATTAGTACAGCTCGTGGCGGGTTGGAAGGGCCTTGGGGAACAGCTTACGCCAACGTTGAACTCAATGGTTCCCCACAAAACCAGCATTGTGGAGTTTCCGTCGCCGAACTGGATTCGGTTTATTTGATGGTAGCGCAGTATGGAGCAGAGGGTGGTGAAGAGGCCAAGGAGGAATATGGCAATGAGGCCGGCTTTCTTTTCAATGCGGACGTGGAGCTTCAACAACACCGGGATGGGGAGAATTGCCACGACGACATCGCATACAATGGTGACGACGGCGTATACCGTGAAAGAAGGGCCTGGTGGGAGACAAGTCCCATCTTTGAGGGGGTTCCATGACTTATCGACAGGCGTGCAGGCAAAGATGAGCGAAAAGGTGCACGCCAGGTGAGAAAGGAAGACAATAGCGATTGTGAGCCACACCGCTCGACGGTAGCCTTTCTGATCGGTTCTCTGGAGTAGCCGTAGGTAACTGATCAAGAGGGCAATCTTGAAGAAACTAATCCCAAGTTGATAGAACGGTCGCCCAGCAAAGTTGACGCGAGTATACTTGATAAGGTCTTCTTTGGGTCGCAGCTTGATCGGCAGACCAAGCCCGTATCTTGTTTCTAACACTCCTGCATCAGAGTTGCCCCAAGGTCAGACAGCTTGATTGGATATACTCACGAGTGATGGTGAGAATGGAGTAGATGAGAGCAAACACCACAGAAAGTGCCGACATGCAGTCGTCAGCTGCCAAGCCTCTAGCGGTATACCGAATCCATAGTCGAGAGCCGACAATGGTGACAGACAGAAAAGACAGGACGCAAGTGACGCCGATAATGGTTGGCCATTGCGAGATGGCCTCTACCTCGGGCGTGGCGTTTACGACCCAGCCCATGATGACGGCTGTGCTTGTGGCGTAACAGATTCAGAGTACGTTATAATGTTGAAAGTGGTTATGTCTGCCCCCGGCGTCGAGTCGGTGTAAGTTTTTGGATTGTAGACGAGTGTAAGTCAGAACCGCCACGCCTCATCTATACAGACAAACGCGAGAGCCACGGGTCTAGTAACGGCGAGGTCGTTGTAATAAAAGACAAGCGAAGCCGGGGAAGGTTCAAGGTAAGGAAGCTAAAGAAAACATGGGAACCAGGACTACCAGTAGCAAGCATGGAACTTGGGAGTTGAAAATTGCGGGGGGTACGCTCTGAGGGCAGTGGTCTGATCAAGGAGAAGCTGGTCGGGACGGGACGCCTTCTACACTTATTACACATCGTGTCGCCTGTCCTTTCTCGCGACATCACTTTAACCACCAGGAGGAAAAGAAGACAGATAAAACAACCAGGCCGCCTCTGCTGCCACGAGGAGTCTGGGTAGAGACACAGAGTTGCTTGCATTCTCCATGCCTTTGGCCTCTAGCTACCGCTGGCTGGCCATGATATTGGGGTAGTCGGGACGGAGTTGAGGCACCGCGTAGTAAACCTTTGTATGGTCAAACGTCCCAAGGGTGCGTCCAACTCGCCCAATATAATCAATGTGATAGGGTTTAGGTGTACCAGGGCCAGCGCTGGCCAACCAGGGCAATGAAGGGCCATCGACATGGGGTGAGGAGTCCCCTGCAGGTTTCGAACCATGGAAGAAAACCCAGGATGCAGCTGACCTGACCTAGGCCCACTCTAACCCTAACCCTATCAAGAAGGAGGGTACGTCAGGTAAGGTATAATTGATTCTTCTAAAATTCATAGATACAAGTTAGGGTTTATGGTTAGGGTCAGTAGTTAGGGTCAGTGGTTAGTTTAGCGTATGGTATATGTTTATTCTTTTACTGTCAGATAGAAGTGTGTAAGGGTTAGGGTTATAGATTGGTCCTAGATGGGGGTACGTATACCGAAGAAAATCAGTCTTGCCGCTCTGGTTGCGTCGTGTGGGAATTCTCTCCTGGGTGATGGGTCGAATGATTATATCAGAGGGGACACAAAAGGGCCTGTGCTGGGGGAAAGGGTTGAACAAGAAAGGTAGGGGAATGCTTGCTGCGCCGTTCTGCTCTTCATCGACGCTGGATGATTATCTAGCATCGCATGTAGATCATCGATGCCGCAGATCTCGTTTCTGAACGTATTATGTAGTTTTCCTGGGCCTCCAACCTGCCTTTCGTTATGCATCGGCCAGGGCTTTATCCGAAAGGAAGTTGGGCAAGGTTGACTGGAAAAGACATCGGGTTCGCTTTCGCAATGTGTGATAGTGACGAGAACGATTGCATGGCACAGTATGGTGGCAAGCCCTCCAATACCCCTTGTGCAAGGGTCCAATGGAGGTCTCGATTAGCCAACACTCTTCGACACTACACGAAGACATGGTCCAGGTACAATGAGGTGACTTAAGCGGCATTGCGTTTTGCTGCAGGCCGCAGGCCATGACAATCAACTTCGCCGCTGAAGCTGCTACGCCGCAGTCTTGCATCTAGGCGAGAAGATGAGGCGAAAACTTCCGCTTCGGAATTGTGCGGATGTGTGTATACGGATGCGAGATCCCTGGGACAAGCAGAAACTTTACCGTCGTTTGAGAAACTTGGAATTGGTGGCTATGCTGTAGTTGGATATGGGTTAGACCTCGCAAATGTGTATATGCGGCCTCTTCAATATCGTTGTCGACACCAACGCAGCGGATGCATCCTTGGAGAAAATTTGTCAGCCCACTGCCGACGACCACTTAACGATGAGAAACTCTAATTCCTCCCTGGGCTGATGACTCGTGGTCCCGTGAGAAGAACCTGACAAGATACAAGTAGGGAGAAGACCGGGCCGGTTTGGCGAGAAATTGACGAGCTAGCATGAGCGGTACTTTTCTGGGTCTTGAATGGAAGAAGACCCCGCGGCGAGCCAAGCTCCGGCTGCTGCTGTCTGGCTGCGATCCTTGGCTGGGAATGCGCCATCCATCGGAGATTAGGATATTCCTCACCTCTCATCGCCGAACGGGACAAGCCGGGGCCCCCGGTCTCTACTCCGACCCGCGTCGTACCGGTACCCCTATAGATTCAAGCGGGGATCGAGGAACAGCGTCGGGTGGTCAGACCGTTCAATTATTGCGCCGGTAGCTGGTTGTGTTGGGTTATACGGAGTACCTGTACCAAGTATCTCAAATTTCTGGTACTGACATGGGTATGACCGTACAAAGACGCGCAGCTTGCAGCACCATAGTGCGCAGTTGGTCTCGGCTGGTATCACCGTTCTCATGTATTCCTGCTGGCAGAGTTATATCACGGCCTGGATATACTAAGCCCATCAGTCGATCAGTCGAATCACGTCTTGTCCTTCTTTACTGTACTATTCTCACCCTATTCGTCCTACCACCATCGCAGCCCCCTTCTCACACTATAACTTTGTTGCCATCTTTTCCAATCTGACACCTACGCAAATCGCAAGGAGATTTCTACAACGTTCTTTGGTCCATCATAAACCCGCAGGTGCCTTGTCGAGTACATGACAGACAAATAGCGTTTCCATCGCTTCGCCCATTCTTTTACTTTCTGGCCTGGTGTATCGAGGCCGGCCGTGTGCCAAATTTCCTCCTTTCTTGACTGTCACCCTCTTTAACTGCAAAGAGAATCGAACTCAACAATGTCTACAGAAGAGAAGCAGCTCCAGGAGCTAGCGAGATCGGTCTCGTCTGAATCGAACGCGTCTTCGGGAAATGTCGACGCCGCGTGGAAGTATCTCAACGACCACCGCGATGCTGGAAATGACACGACCTCCGTCGACATCAATGCGCTCAGGCGCAAGATCGACTGGCGTATCGTGCCGCTGATGTTTCTGTGTTACACCATGCAGTTCTTGGACAAAGTCATACTCAACGTACGTTGCCCTAATGTCTTGAGTGCTTGCTTGGTGTCTTTTGAGGCCCGGCATTCCGATGAAAAATCGAAACTAACCTGATGCATGACGGTAGTACGCTGCTGTGATGGGATTGCCCAAAGACTTGAAGCTGGTCGGCAATGAGTTCTCCAACATCGCCACCTTCCTCTTCGTCGGTCTCCTTTGCTTCGAGATCCCCAACAGTGCGTAACCCCATCCCCCTTACATGCTGGAAAAGGAGACGATCGAGAAAACCGAGTTACGAAACATCACTCAAAACGGACAAATTACAAGCGCAAAGGTTGACAATTTGTTTCAGTCTACTTCCTCCAGATGGCCCCGGCCGCCAAGTGGCTAGGCTTGAACGTCATCCTTTGGGGTGCCGCCACTGCCTGTGGTGCCGCCGCGCACAACTACCAGACCCTCCTCGTCTCGCGCGTCTTCTTGGGTATCTTCGAGGCCACCATCGGCCCGTCGTTGATGCTCATCAGCTCTCAGTGGTACACCAAGTCTGAGCAGGCTCCGCGCTTCTCCTTCTGGTACTTGTGTCTCGGCCTGGGCCAGATCTTCGGCGGCGCCATCTCGTACGCCTTCCAAAACATATCTCCCAACGCCGCCCTCGCTGGATGGCGTATCATGTTCATTGCTCTGGGCTGCATAACCGTGACAATCGGCATCTGCACCATCCTCTTTGTACCCGACACCCCCATGCAGGCGACTTGGCTGTCCGACACGGAGAAGGTCGCTTTGTTGAAGCATGTCAGTGTTAACCAGACTGGTATTGAGAGCCGCAAATTCCGCCCCGGGCACATACTTGAGGCTTTGATGGACCCTCAGATGTACATGTTGACTATGGCCGTTGTTCTCGTACGTACCCTCCCCCTATCATATGGGTTGCCTTGGCTAACGCTCCAAAGCTTTCCGTATCTAGCGGTGTTATCACCACTTATTCGGCCACTCTGATTCGCAATCTCGGCTTCGACCCGAAGCATGCAGCTTTGATGAACATGCCCTCCGGTGTGGTCAGCATCTTCTTTACTCTTCTCGTGGGCTATGGTATCCGTCACACATCCAACCGGTGGGCATGGATCGTGCTTTGCATCATCCCAGCGTAAGTTGACTGCAATGATGACATAAGAGAGAATTGAATCCGCTAACAGCTTGCAGCATCATTGGTGGTGCTTTGATGTCTTTCCTTCCTGTCAGCAACCGCTCGGGCTGCTTGGCAGGCATATACCTCGTGAACGCAGTTGTCGCACCTCTGACTGTTTTCTACGCTGTAAGTAGTCCAAGAGTCTATTGAGTTTGGGAAAGCCCGCTAACATACTCCTAGTGGACCGCTGCCAACTTTGGTGGCGCTACAAAGCGCGCTTTTGCCGCTGCCATCATCTCCGGCTCCTTCTCTCTGGGCAACATCATCGGCCCACAAACCTTCCAGGCCAAGGACGCGCCCGAGTACCGCCCGGCCAAGATCGCCGTCATGGGCACTCAGGCCGGTTGCGCCATCGTCACTCTCGCCCTGTACGCCTACTACCGCTTCGAGAACAAGAGACGCGGGGTCATCAAGCAGTCCGAGGACGCTTACATGGCGCCGGAGGTTTGGCAGTCAATGACAGATAGGGAAAACAAGTCGTTCCGCTACACCTACTAAAGCGGAAGGTTTGGGCTTAAGCAGAGATATTCAGACGAAGGAGAACACTTGTACCCATCAATGTGCAATTCAAGTAGCGGGAAAATCCTTGTTGTACATTAGTAAACCCAGTAATGGCCAATTCGATCGGGGGTATACCGGCCATATCGTTGATGTCCGTGGGTTCTGGGTTTCAGACAAGGGCAAAGAATCAGCGTCGTAACCTCTTATGTTCTTAACTTTCTAGGCAGAGGATCCTCGTCAGTAGTTGCATCCGACTTGTGCTACTTGCTTCTTGCCGCTGAGTGATGATCTTGATCTGGAAGACATTGAGACTGGAGCGCCGTTGTGGATTTCGCCCAGAATCATGGCGGAGTTCAATTAATTTCTGCTGGGAAATCTCGGCACTGCCCGCAACGCTTACCAAACCAGGTTATCCATCCGATGCGCATCCAGCGTTGCGGCTCAGTGCCGCGCCCTTGGGGCTCGGCTTAACGCCGTGTCATGCATGGACTATACTTCAAACCGCAAAACGGCCGGTATCTGCGTACCGACACCAATCGGAATCCGAGTATCAGCAGTGAGCAGCTTTGTCCATAATTTTGCTATAAGATACCCGTGAAGCTGCAAGGGCAGCGCCTAATACTATAGCACGCCTGATGATGTTTAGGAGGCAGCCATCATTTGGGCCTTTCTTCGCTTTTCCACGGCAGGACCATTTTATTCAACGGCTAACCGCGTGCGAAGGCTGCTTACTGTTCGTTGTTGCACCATGGTTGGCTGAATTGACTGATTAGTAACAAATATAATTATGCTTTCTACAGCAGCGAAAACGGTGTGCGTACTATCTGGAGTACTTCATTCTACATACGCCATCCCTATGAAAGTAATGCTTTCCTAGTAGTTACTTTTGTCTGCTTAAGTACCGTGGAGGATAAGAAATTTAGGTGCTGATAGAATGTTAAAGTTTCAAGCATTGTATGAGAGGTACAAGTCAAGGACCAGATGCGAACTTCCAGATGGTGCTGTCAATGACAGCCAATTGTAAAAGCAAATGGAGAGACATTTCACAGCCCTCGGGTATTTCACCACGGAATACCATTAATGACGCCCGTCGACACGTTTCTGAATGCTTTGAGTTCACTCAATTTGAACGACACACCTACTCAATCTTTATTCCCTGCTGTTCAACAGGTTATACTTAGCCCGATGATCGGGCCTCAGAGAAATCTGTGCGAACTATGCACCGGATATAATCGCGTCCTATCCTAACTGGGGGATGTGGGCCTTGGCCGACGAGAGCGAGCCAAGCCAGATTGCGTTTCTCGCTTGCGCGGACTGATCGGCGCCGAGCTCCAGTATGACGAGGCCCATGATGTCTGCAACAGATGACATAAATATGGATGCGGAGTAAAAAGGGCATCATACACATCTAGTGGACATTGATAGGAACGTCGATTCCACAGAAAGATTATTTCAATTCGTAAAAAGATATACGTGGTCCCCCATGGAGCAATTTACTTCAAACGGGAGGGGCTTGGCTTAGAAGTCTCAACCGCCGAACGGTGGCCGTGCCGACCTAGACGTTGTGAAAGAAGGTAGACAGATCTCTGACAGTCTTCGGTCATGGTCAAGCCCTGGCTTTCAAGATTGCAGGGACCAACGACTTGCTTACTTTAACGGGCCCTATCGCAACACATGCCTGTCTTTATGAGCTCCAGTACTTAACCTAGTGGATGGAGGTGCGTCTCAGCTGGGAAACTCTTCGGACCAGTAGCTGTGTCATCTCTCTACTGAAAGCCTAAGTTACTAGGCGAGTTCTTGGGTTCCTGATTCCCCTTGACATGTGATACCGATTTCCAGCGATCCATCGTCTTTAATATAATCGTGCCCTGCTGGGAAAACTGGCGCATACAGATATACCCTCTACGTACGCGACCATCTTGCCAGTTTGAAAACGCTTCAAAGACTTTGTTTCAGGTCTAAAATGCTCTTCGAGATTATCTCCGGTGCTATGGATCTTCACATTTCTCGTGCTGGAGGTATCCAAGATGGCCTATACTTGCGACCTTGAAGGCTGCGGCCGATCGTATCTTCGAAAAGAACACCTCACTCGACACAAAAAGGAGCACACCTCAACGCCTTCTTTTTCTTGCCCATCATGTGGCGCGAACTTTACAAGAGGGTATGGTTGACGCTAGTTGCCCGCTATTCCCCCCCCTTTGACTATTCAGTATCATTCCGCTCCCAATCAGTGTGTACCCAACACAGATTTATGGCGACGGACTGACTGATAGACCCCAATAACCAGAGACACGCTCCGTAGGCACATGGTACTCCATGGCCCTTCCGCTCCGCCAGCTCGGGTAGCACAAGCCTGTATTCCGTGTCACCGCACAAAGACCAGATGCGACGGCCAGCAGCCCGTCTGCTTGACATGCATTGGCAAAGGCAAGTCGTGCGAATGGCCACAGCCGTGCGGAAAACCTTCGTCCCGATCACCCTACAGATCCTCTACTGCTTCGGAAACGACTCCGAATCTCATCACTCATCCCGAACCACTGGCATCGAGGGTGTCATCACCCAGCTTGCCGATGCAAGCCATCATGCCGTCAACAATGGCGACAATGATCGACACGATCGATTTCAATACATCTGAATCTCAATGGTTTCTAACCGAACTTAGGAGTTTGCAGTCTCAAATAGTTTACTTCGAACACTTCCACCCGCAGTGGCCTTTGTTACATCGGGGGCTGTACGAAACCACTAAGCAGCCCAGGCTGTTGGTACGAGCTGTCGTCACGGTTGGCTTGTGGTTTGACGGGTCATCAAAATCGAAAGACCTGTCCATAAAACTTCACGATCATCTCTTAATAGAGACCGGAAACAAACTTGTAAGCCTCGTCCTCCATTTGGTTCTGTGCATTTTCCCTATCTACAAATTGATTCGCTCGACTTGCCTAGGCTTGTACTACAGGATAGTATAGCTAATAAGCATCTAGCTTGATCTATTAGAACACTCTAGAAAAGGCTTGTTGTCACCCAGGGCAGATTTACTACCTATCTTCCAAGTCACACTGATCGTGATGATTCTCGTACCATACCGAGCAGACAAATCCACTGAAAGCGTCATGATTACCCACCCCATACTATTGGAGATATTCAAAGCCACAGGTGTCTATGATCAACCGAAGATCAACGCGGGATCGCAACTCTGTTGGCACAGCGGCTATACTTGGATCTTTCGAGAGTCTTACCAGCGGTGAGTTGTGCCAGAATTCCCTAGTGCAGTACGACAGATGCCCACTGTAACAGAATTGCCAATAAAGTCCCAGCATAGGGCCCGTGTACTGCCATACTCTGTTCAACTTGCAACTGACAGCATCGGCCCACAGTCTAGCCGTATTTCAGTTCAAACTTCATCTGATTCTACAAACGTTATTAATAACGACACACCCCCCGCTACGACTTTCACGAAATGCAGAGCCTGCCCTGCTACAAATTGCATTACCTCTCCCACTAATGGTGTGGGATAGCCCATTAGCGCAGTGGTGCGGCGGCACGGTGCCGACTGATCCAGCGTCATTGGATATGAATGAGAACAATGGGTTGCTGGTCAACCAAATGTGTGCGGAAGCGATGTTGACAATGGACAACAGACCCTTGGTACCCTTGCTATCATGGGACCGCTGCTTGGGGATGGCAATATGGTGCTGGTGCTTACGAGGCAACGAGAGCGACGAAGAGTTTATTGAGAATATCAGGCCATTTGTCCTTGATCCGCTCAAGGGGACGGCTTTTCTCCCTAGTTCCAGCTAGTTCAAAAATACGATAAGTATACAAAGACGGGAAATCCGTTGATAAGATTTGCGCTTCTTCGACTGACAATGATTCTAAATGTTAGCTTTAATACAGATGCAACTCTGAGCATCGTTATGTGCTCGAATATTCCTCTGGCCAATGAAATGCCCCCCAGCAGTAGGCATCTCGATGATATCGCGCGACGGCCAACCAGGCCCTTGGTTTGATAAGTGGCGTTTCGTCTGCCGGTGGGATAAAGGCATTTTGACTGTTTCGCGGATGTGAAGAGGGGGTATTGAAGCATGTCAGCAACAAAACTACCGAATCGAATGCCGGGCCCATGTATGTCAGGCTATATGCAAATTGAATGCCTTTTACTCTCCAACCATAGCTGCTACTGGTTTGTATGAATCAAGAGTAAAACTTTCAAAGTTACCCTGCAATCGTGGAATCGGAAATGACATGTCCTATTATTAGGATCCTCTCGCGTAAAGTGCAAGCGCGATCGTATGAACGAACGAACGAACCCTGAGGAATCCAGAACAATGTAAATCATACCATTTTCGAAAACGACAATAGGATACTAGGTCTTCAGTTTGCTAACATGCTTACTGTTGTACACTTTAATGGCAGCAACCCAGTGCTGATTCAAATCGCTGTATAGCGGATACGTGACCCACAAACGGTCTTTAAACTACTATTCAAGAGCCCAAGGATTTGGGATTTACAGCATAAAGCAAGTGGGAGACATTGAGACAGCTGTCGGGCATTGGTTCTGGGGATGAGAGCACCGCTAAACAGGCTAGCTCGCAATGCTTCGCAGGAGTGCATGACTATTGTATATGTCTGCAGAGAAACGTACGTCTTCAACCAGAGTTGCAATGAAAGCAACCCTTCTTGACACAGTTGCTCGCCTTGGACATAAGCTTATGAGTGTCTCGAATAGTCCCGGAGGCGACAGCAGATAGAGGATTTGGCATCTCAAATTGTCTCCGCTGAAGTTGGCTTGGCTTATTGTTGCCCGTCTTCATTACTGTGATCGGATCCGTCATCCTCCCGAGCGCTTATGTTGATACCTAATGTCTGTTAGGGAATCTGGAGTAAAACAAGAGATGCGCATCGAATCACCAGACTTGCCACCGACGGAAGTGCTGCCATCGCTGCCCTTCGTGATGCCCAGGTTGCCACCAACTACAACGAAAAAGTAAGCAATGTGAAGGAGAACATGAGTGTGACGTCCTTACCATTCTGAACTTGGCCGTTAGCACCAATAGTAATTCCGGCGTCGTCCTTGAATTGTTCCGACTCTCCCACAGCTTTAGGTTGCCCCTCTTTAGCAGCAGCCTCCCCAGCTTGATTCTTTTTTCCTTCCCCGGCATTGACTTTCTGGCCTTCTCCAGCCTGTTTTCCAGGAGCTGCTGCTCCTTCTGCGGCGTTTGCAGTGCCGTTGCCCGCCTTCTTGTTTCCGTTGGCTGCACCCAAGAATGCGTCAAGGGCGCTGTTGCCGGTTGTTCCAGCAGATTTGCCGTCGGCCCCGAGCTGAACACCTCCAATCGTCAAGCCAGCGTTGTTATTTGCGGTCCGGTTGCCAGCAACGTTGCCTCCCGCTTCGGCACCCTGACCCTTGCCCTTACCGCCGAGCTTCAGCCCATTCGCACCGCCGATGCTGATGCCTCCGTCCCCGAGGCTGATCTGCCTCTTTGTGGAACTGGGCCTTTCGAGACCTGTTCTGACGAGAGCACGAGCGCGGCTGGCGGCACTTCCCTGTAATTCAAAGGTTACCGGATGAGCCGAGAGAGGAACTGCAGCTATGCAAGAGACGATGTTCTTCTTGCTGACATCTGACAGGTCTATCGGTTTATCATACCGACAGTAAACTCAGGTGGCTATCTTGGCGATCGCAGAGCCCTGTCTGGCCAAGCGCCAGGAGGGTGCAAGCAACCACAGAACAGAAGCGCATCGTGACTTTGATGAATCGAATAAGGTAATAAAGATTGTTAAGATGAATTATAATACGGCCGCTCAGCAGCAAAGAAACAAACAGGTGGTAGATCAAATACGTCAAGAAGCGTCAAGCTTCAGTTTAACGCCAATTAGAAGTGAAATTATAAAGATCGGCAGCGCGGGGTGCATCGTAGTGATGAATAGTTTGGGGAATGAGGGGACCGGCCATTATAAGTCGGCATAATGATATTTGAAGAACGTCACCAGATTCTTCACGTCGTCAGAAGTGTGTCTCCACATGATCGAGCCAATACACCATCCCTACGACACTCTGGCAGCGAACGGGATCTCATAGGCCGAAGTGGCCGTCAACCCTGACCACGGGTTGTGGTGTCGCGATGAGGCTCTCTGTTGCATGCCCCGTGCCCGGACCCGGATGTTACCCTCCTGTATAACCGCTTTCACTGTGGTGCCTGCTCGTCCGGGCACCCGGGCCCAATGGGTGAGGTTTCTATGGCCTGTCGTTCACCTTTGGGACCCATCTACAGACACGAAACCTATCAAAACACTCGTCAGGTGAAGGTAGATGATAGAAGACAGGACGAAATGTCAGGCGTGGTTGGAGCGTGCATGATATCGAATCAGTTTTGGGTGACATTGGACGGCGCCGCATGTGCGTACGTGCTTGTCTGGGGTCGGAGTTTCCCACCGCCTCCACCGTCTCGGCGCGCCTTGGCGTCGCGGAGTGGTGGCAGCGCCAGCTATTAATGACATCGCTGGGGTCGCCAGTATTCGTCTGCCCCGAAACTCATCTTTGCAAGTTCCAGAAGGGCCTGCGTTTAATCGGGAGAGTTTGGATCCATTCAAGATTCATTGGGGCATTGATTCCGTACATGTCGTATCTCGGGGTTTCCAATTCTTTTTCTTCGTAAGACATTGAGAGATTGTCAATCAAAGCTCGCACACATACAAAGAGGACACAAGGAAGAAATTGTGTAGAGACCCTTCAAGTTTGATTGCAAGAGGCTTCAGGGCTAGATTTGAAGTGTTCTCCGGATCGGGCACACTTCTGCCGGCCATGCTCGGGTTTTCAATGTTTTTTGGGGGCCAGAAATATTACACCAAACCACCCGACGTTCAAGAAAATATGCCTTAAGTGAGACACAGATACATGACACACCCCATCCCCAAAATTACACCCCGGTTTCCGTTTCGCCACATGCCGTGAGGTGGATTGCATTGCCGAGGGGGCTTGTCAGATAAGCCATTTTCACATAGCAGGTGCAGGCGCCAGTGGGAGCCATCTCCAAAGGCAGGTAGGTGGTGCGGTAGATGGTGCTCGTCACATCCTCGTCGTCATCATCGCCGCCGGTTGAGGGGGGCATTGGTGGGCAGGGCGAAGGCGGCGGCGTTGTCGGGGTGGCGAGGGGGCTTGGTGAGAGCTACCGGGTGATAGTAGTCTGAAGCCCAGCCAATGATGTCAGGACAAGTGCCATGGAAGACGGGTGAAGAAGTGGTTTGGGAGGAGGCCGAGACGGCGGCGGGGGTCGTGATCTTGCTCTGGGCCGCCGAGATACCGCCCGTCGCCACCGCGGTGGAGTTTCTAGAAAGGGTCTTGCTCACCGTGACAGTGACGGTGCTCGGTGGCGCACAGATGGAGGGCGAAGCCGGGGGCAGCGTGGTCGGGCCTGTGCAGTCGGCTCCGGAGATGGAGAACTTAGGCGTCTGCGCGTAGATGACGTAGACGTTGGTGCCGTTGATGGCATTGCTGCGACATGTCAGTTTGCTTGCCTCTCTTCACATCTATCAATATCCTTGTTTGACGTTGTCTCAGATACAGGGCACACTCCTCTTTTCATCTAAAGATGCAGGGTTGTAATGCATGACTCGGCGTGATTTCACCCCTGCCGAGAAATAGACTATTGGGGTGCCAGCTCAGGGGCCAAGAAGCGAAGGCGAGCCAAAGGAAAACAGCGCAAGGAAATCAAGGGTAGGGACAAGTAAGAAAAGGAACTGTTCGCACAATTGGTAGCCATAAGAGTTGCTGGCGGAGCAGGGAACGTCGACGGAGACGGCCCCGGCAGAGGTCTCAATGTTTTCAGCCAAAAGAGTGTAGGAAGGCGGCCAGTTGACGAAGTTGACGAGGAAGATGCTGAAAGCAGACGGGTCCGTGTCGACAGCCTTCCAGGTCAGCTCATAGCTGGAGCCCTTGGTGACGGTAGAGTTTATGGATGGGCTGGTGAACTCAATGGCGGAGACCAAGGGGGCCACGAGGGCAAGAGCAGTGGCGGAGAAACGCATTATGGTAGAGTTCGTCTGATCCGGACTGAAATACGAAAGAGTGACTGAGATCGGTGAATGAGCGAAAAGAAAGACTCCGAGAGGGCTGAATGCTCAGGGGAATGGGGAATCACGGCCATTATGTGCACTTTTGGGTGTCTCTGGAAGAACGGCAAAAGACCCAAGGACCGGGAGATTACAAACAGGCAGGCAACCCTGACCCGTCAGATGTGCTTCGTGCCGCAATTGGTGTGGATACACCTCTCGGCCGACGAAGTTCCAACGGCGAAGCACGCTCATCCTTGGTTGTGTGATACATTGCCGGATTCAGGCCTTAAAGCGCAAGGGGGCCAAACAGTGTGACTTCCCACGACGGCGAGCGCCATGTAGCATTAACTTAAGCAAGAGAGCTTCAACCGCTCGCGGCACAGCCAGGGATGTATCTTACTCTCGGCCTCTTTTTTGAAGTATGGAGCCGTTGATAAGCAGCGGTTAAGTGGTTCGCGGCGTTGGTGTGGCTCTCTGATAAAAGGGGGCTGACCCATGATGATGACTGCACTAAACCACTTTCGTTCGATGGGGTCGTCTGGCTGTTGTTGACTTGGCGCTTTGCGGCGTCGAGTCGGGCTTCTGTACCTGCGTCCAATCTGCCAAGCACATGGCACAGGAATCCCACCGGCTCTCCGGGAGCTGTGCGCCTGTGGCATCTTAACTCACTAGAACAAACTTTGGGTTGTCACACGGCAAGGCGCTTACACTGATGAGGCATCTCTCATGGCCTGATAAGAGGCGCCAACAGTCTGACTCGGGGGGCACAGAGGGGGGAAACATCACGAAAGTTCCACACAATAGGGAAATTGGCGTTTGCCGCCAGCGCTGCACTGCGTAATATATGGTCATGGGAGCGTGTGTGTGTGACCGCGACAGGAGATTTATTTCATCTTGGTAGTTGTGCCAGACGTCTATGATCCCAGCCATGCTCCTCAGAAGCCTTATTTCAGAGCTGGGACAAAATCCTCCGCTGGCGCGCTTTTCTATCAGTGGCTCATCTCGCCTGCCATCTGGGTTTAGAGATGACATCGCGCGTGCAACGGGGATTTTGCGGATCCCAGGTCCGCTGCAAGGGGAGGAGATGCGATATTTCCGCCTTGGCCTGTGCCTCGGCGGACGCTGCCTTGATATTTCGGTCCCTCTGTGGAGCTTAAGGTTGTCGGCGCCAACATTCAACACGCAATGTTAAAGACATATAATGATGACAGGTCATCACAGTTGCCCGAGTAAAGAGGATACACAATCCGCTTGATCATGACAGCCCTTGTAAAAGCTCCCGAAAACATAGGGAGCCAACTACATGCAGCAAACGCGCCAAGCATCCCTTTCAGGTGTGATATCCAGCTCCGCCGTTGGCGTCAAGCCTAATCCGGACCCCATGGCGCGATTACTGCAGGTAAATACGAACACATGACTATTTCTTACCATTGCACTTCCGGTTGCAGGTTAATAGCATGAAAAAGCCCGTTCCTGAACATGCCAGTCCGCCCGCGAATTTGGCCTAGAAGATCAGCGACACTGGCATCATCTTGGTCTGGGCTTTTTGTCAAGGGTAAGATTGTCTGTCCCGCGGTGGTGACACGCGGGTTGGGCGCGCGGGCTCGCGCAACCTCAGATCCGACATGGCGTGACTAAGGGCCTGGTCGGCAAATCCGATATCAGGCCGATAACGCCCGTACTCCAATATAAAAGTACATAGGGTTAGGGTTAACAAGAGTTTAATGCAAGGTTGAAGGTTAGTTTAATAAATGTACTGCTAGGACCCTTGCGACAGCTGTTGCTAGCTGCGCTCTACTAACACCACTATTACCTACTGTTGCTAGCGCCTACCTGCCTTATTAGTCCTTTTCTGAAGTTCAACCTAAGTCTAGAGGCTAGTAATAATTTATCCCTTTAAATGCCACATGATCTCACATAACCTAAAAGTAGGTCTCTATAAGTAATTACTAACAGCTATTAGATACTTAGCCTAGATTACTATAGTCTTATTAGTCTGAGGTTATGTGAGGGTACGTTTCCTAGCGGTATGTGGCCTACTCTGATATCTTTAGAGTTCTGTAATGTAGACCTGAAATCATAATGTACCCTCCTGTTTTCGGCCTAGTGCGGCACGATTTGAGTTTTTTGATACTTGTGGCTGGTGGTTGGTCTGTGACATCGGTCCTTATCCAAAGTATCAAATGATATCGGCGGTGCCGATCAGGCCCTAAGAATGCCGTTCTATCAATGGCGGGCGATTTGAGACAGTTTTGAGGTGTCTCACACCTGTTCCAGTGTCGTCGCAATGCGACAAAACTTCATTTCCAGCTAGCGCCGGAAAGCCTGGAGGGGGACCTTCGATCTATCTACCTCGTCTACCGTATCCTCTCGGCAAATCCGACATCTGCTAACTTCTGGGCTAACGAGAAGGGGTATAGCGGCCGCCGTAAGAGGTATGATCTGCTGGCAGTAACAAGGATCTAGCGGTAGCAAAAGTAGGGGATCATCATGTACGCCAGAGGCAAATTACATAGGAAGTGAGCAAAGGACCAGCAAACAGGCTTATTATAGTTACTAGACGTCTTCTGCTTAAGATTGACTGCCTTCTGTGATAGGTATACTGCAGTGGACTATACTATACTGCATATAGTAGCCGCGATATCCTTTCTAGTTAGCGCAGAAGTTAGCAGATGTCGGATTTGTCGAGAGGATACGGTACATGGCCCACAGGGCTCGCAAGCATACATTGTCTACCAAGACAATATAAGCACATTGTTCGAATACAATGGAAAGAAGTGAGACAAAATTGGAGACATGGGAACACTCTGTTCGAACTCGACACCACTCGATAAATACTGAATCACTTTCGGATATTCCCCCTAAGCCATCGTTTACAAGAGTACTTGAGAAACCAACGGCTGGTAGGAATCACACAGGCCTACAATAAAGCGATGAATGGACTCGTAAAAACTCAAACTTGTCGCAGTTTTATATAGGTAGCTGCGAGGCCGAAGTCCCTGCCTTCCAAGAGCATGTTCGATAGTGTACTTTGATTGCTAGGTGGAATGTCATTCTATACAGCTTTTTCAACGCACTTACCCGCCACTCTTTGAGTCTTGCGCGTAATAATATTGGGCATAATATGACGAGACCCTTTTAGATGATGGCCCTCAAGGTGGTCACCTGACCCTCACCTCTCTTGATAGTCATCGAGATCCATATATGTGCATCACGATGCTCCAAGAACTCTTGTACGATATTATTTTAAGTAAGAGTCTGTCGTGATATAAGCCGTAATTGCACAGTGGCAATTACGGATCCGCTTTTGTCATCACAGAGTCTTAATAGGCATTCGCACATCGGCCACGAATTGTTATTCTTCTGTCGTGAAGCTGGGATAGCTTTGTGTGGCTAGTGCCAATGTGAAAGCCACAGATGTGGCTCATCAACAACGTGACCCACTTGAAAGGGGTATCTCAACCTGATCTCGTTTCCTATGTAGATTCCAGAAAAACCAAGTGTTCAAATTTTCCCTTTGACAGACGCTGTGGTCCATCAAATCTTCATTGAAGTTGCGGTCGCGGTCACAATCGATCTGTTGTCGACTCTGTAGTGACAAACGGGAGTATAGAGTTTGATATTAGATGATGAGGAACAACGGTAATTGTACTCAAACGACGACATGCGAGAATACTTCTGTTAATGTTGACAAAGATTGGCGGCTAGGAGTTCTTGTCCTCATGGGAGCCCTTCAGCAGAACGAGTGCCAAGGAAGACATTTTTCAAATCATCATGATGGTCATTCAAAGATGATTAGGGTCAAAGCACGACGGGCTCTGTGAAGGGATATGGGCACTTAACCTCCACAGTCAGAGAGAAGAATCAAGAAGCTCATCCAAATAATGTCAGTCTTTTGGCGGCGACCCCTGAGTATACTGTCACAACTCTCAACGAACATCTACAGGCTTAAAATGGATGAACTGATTGAAATTAATCAAGCTTTTACTACAAGGCAGACTTGCATTGATCTTTGTTGAATATGACATATTCCTCGTAATGCGAACCTTCTAAGTCTATCACTTGGCGTCTCTTAAATATAGGCGACGTACTTAGACTAATAACCAAGTTAACGCCACTAATATCAAGCTTAAACCTACTTTCAATCACCAAGTCCTAACCGTGCTAAAAAAGTAAATAACATAAAGGAATCTTAAACCTTTGACTTTATGCCTAGAAAAGCAACATGCAAGATAGGTATACATTCTATAGCTCAAACTAAGGTGCTCTGGAGTGATAGTGATAAGCTAAGCTTTAGTTTTAGCCCTAGATTACTCTTTAAGCCAAGATGGAGTACTTGTACTTGAAATGTTACCTGGAAACCATAAAAGGATATGGTTCAATCCTTCTTCAGATCTTTCAAGCTGTCTTTGTAGCAGTGGCTGGTGGGGGTTCAAGCTTCCTTATGATTCTGGCAGGGTTACCTGCCACCACATGATAATCAGGAACGTCCTGGTAAGAAAGTCAGCCAACCGCAAGGACATAGTGACTCTTTGGTCTGTGATCTCCTACTTTTGTGACGACACTACTCGCCCCGACGGTACATCCTTTGCCAATTGTCACAGCCGGGAGGACGGTAACACCTGCCGCCAGCCAACAGTCTTCACCTACTGAGATAGGTTTACCCAACTCTGGGCCACTGGTGCCATTTCGAACATGCCCGTCAAGAGGATGTGTGCCGCTTAGTAATGATACATTGGGCCCCACAAGAGCTCGATCGCCAATGGAAATGATAAAGGTGTCGATGAACGTGCAGTTAAAGTTGATGAACACATTGCTGCCTACTTTGACGTTGTACCCGTAGTCGATTTTGATTGGACGCTCTATCCATGGGTACTCATGCAAAACGGCGTCATCTCCCTCTTCGGTTGCCCCAGTAGGCGGGAGAGGTTGATTGCTGTTTGTGATGCTGGTTTTAGACGAGTCAATCCCGAATTCTACCACCATACGGTCGACTGCTGGGGCGAGCGGGAGATGAATGGTTCGCGACTCACTTTTTCCAGTGCTCAGCTATTTCTCTACGGGTCAAGTTGCCAGCACAGTTGAGCCTGTCAACGGCTTGACCACAACGGCGACGTGCTGCAACGAGCTGGGGTGTGAAGGCGTAATAGAGCTCGCTTCTTTGCATCCGAGCGAGATTCACTCCTTCGTCAATGTTGGTCAACATTTTGAGTAACAAAATTCGAGACCTAGCCAATATGATGATTCCTATGTGGTAGCGAGCCAGAGTTTGTAGCTTTGAGATGAGTGAAAATAATTGTAAGTCAAAAACTTGAAGAGGTCAAAGGTGAAAAGAGATCTGGCCACAGAGGTGGTACGGGCCAATAGAACTAAAGTTTAGGCTGTTGACCCAGTGTAGCTCTTTGCCCCTTACGACACCTCCGCTCACACAAGTTTATGCAGGACAAACCAATCAGACTTGAAGTGCATGGAGAGATGTTTGTCCACAACTAAACGCCTCAGTGAACGCAAACATGATGCGTAGCACATGCTAAACGGGTCAATCATTAAGCTTCAGTCTGGACTGGCGGACTCCATATCCAGGCACCATGATGTGACTACTTTCAGTATTGCTTCTGTAGCCTTTAGAGTTGTCTCAAGGTGAAGCCAGTCAAAATTATCATGAATGTCTTCGGTAGGCTTCAAGCCATGAGTCCGATGCCCAATGATTTTAATTCAGACAATCCAAAAAGAATATTGGATCAGGGACGGGGAATACTGCCTCCATCGACATAAACAGGCGATTTAGGTGACCTTTCCTTTATAATCTTTCTTTCAAGCTCTCATGGGTCATACTTCGATGATCCGCTGATCAGGAGTATATCTAGACAGTTGCGGAGCGCAGATGGTCAGAAAACAACGACACACTTGCGATCAATTATTCTTCTTCTTGAAGTCGGGACTAGAGCCTTACAACCTCATCAACACACCCCGTACGTGGTAACTGAGGCGATTGGGAGATCTTTGCCCTGTCTAGTCAAGCTTGCTACTTCCGATCAGAGGAATCTTGCGACATGACTAGGCAGGGAATCTGGCAGCATTATGTTGTGTAGTGTTGTTGTGCTTTATTCACAGCTCCACCACTACCAAAGTTCCTATATTACACCATGCACACTTCCAATAAATATGATAGCGATAAAATCAAGCGACAAGTCTAATATTAAAGTTCTAAGTGGGGTCCCCTTTCTGTTAGGCAGCTGAGTGGATAACATGGAAGTCAGTGTATACTTATGATGCTGCATATGGGTTTATCATACAGTTCTTAATCTCCTCAATGATTTGATGGATCTTTTCGCCCAATCGTGAGTTGCCTCAGGAACATCATTTGGTATCCTCGTCAAATACTAATCTGAGATCTTGGGCCCACATTATTGAATGTGAGAATGACAAAACGTCTGCTTGAAATCCAGGCATTCATGCAGTCGACTCAACTTCTCGAGACATCTAGCCCCAAAACTCTACAAAGGTCTGCAACTTCGGTATGGTCACGATGATTCCTCATTCGATGGCACCATGTCACAATCTTCTCTTCCTCGCCCTCCTCGAAAACAAACTCTCCTCCCACTCGCATCCCATCTCCGGCCTTCGTCGTCTTCCCCGAAGGCAGGTTAACTAAAGCGTCATAAACTGCTTTGAAGAAGTGGGAGAGCCACCTCTTCGAAGAGTAGATGGTTCTATTCCCCACAGCAGCAGTTCTCACCATTCCCAGCTTATCGAAGAGCTTCCCTGTGGGATCCGTGTAAATTGGAAACCGGCAATTTGTTACCTGACTGTAATCGTCTATGAGCTCGGGGTCTCCGCACCCTATGAATACAACGCTTGTGGGAATGCGGTGAGATGATAAGGTTTCCGGTGTAATGGTGGTGGACACATCGTGGGTATATAATTGGCATGCTTACGGAGGTTAGTCATACTACTCTGGCAGCCGCCTTATTATCTATTCTTACTCCGCAGAAAAAATGTCGCATGAACATAACCACTACTCTTGAGCTGGATTTCAGACCGCCAAAGAGATTTTTGAAAGGATGGGTCTGGCCATCGCGCCCTAGGACCTGGAGCTCGGCGGCTTCAGCAAGAGCCTGGGAGGAAGGCGGCACCTCGGTCACCACGGCATGTCCTCCACGTATGTCAGATTCTAGCTGGCGACGGTTCACTGCTCTTTCCATCTTATTGATTTGATCCACGAAAGAATTGTAAATTTTCTGGGGCGCTAGACATACTTAACTATGGCACTCCTACCAGGCTCGTGATGAAATCAAGATCTTACGGCAGGGAAACCAAGATCATCTGACGTCCATGGCTTTAAATCTTACTTAGCCCAATATTGACGCTCAGCTGCCCGTCTTACCAGGCTTGTGATTATATTTAGGTCTTACGGCGGGGAAACCAAGACCATCTAACGTTCATGGCCTTAAATCTGACTCATCTTAATTTTGACGCTATGTTGGCAGTAAAAGCCCGAATCCTTCGCTTAACCAATCGTGTGCTGACGGCGGATTTCCACTGATGCATGTAATACGCGATAGCCCCTCTTGCCGATAGAATAAAAAGCAGTATAATCAGGGCTTTCAGGGAAATACTGTTGGGATTATAAATCCGTGCCAGTTTCAGTGCGCCAAGTGAGAGGATATGACCACCGAGGCCTGATATAGTGTGCTGAAAATTTTCAGAGTAACAGTTAGTTGACCAGTTATTTAAGAAACATTCAATACGTGCTTTTGCTTATATCCCAGCAGAACTGGTGATCAGCATAACATTGACATTGAGGTAGAAAGATTCCTTGTTGATTTAAGCCCCAAGGTTATATTCGCTCTGACGAAGATTTCTGACTAAGATTTCACTCTGTAGGGCCCCAACAACTTCACCTCCTACCGGGATTACCGGTTCGTTCCCCGATGCTACACCAGTACATTGGAGAAGAATAAATTATATGTGTATCGATGACTCAAGGAGCACCAGTGTACAGCTGTTCTCCATTTTTCTTGAAGTTGCTAATAACTCTTTGGCCGTTCCGACTCACACACCAGTTGGCGAACTGATACGCCATTGTGAGGTTTTTTGCCTTTCTTCCGACTAAAAGGTGCGCTGGATTGAGCAGCAAGTCTGTTTCATTGTCTGTTGATGCCTTATAGATGACTGTTCGGTTCGACAAGGCCTTGTCTAGCGACAGGTACGTGCCACGATCTGTCAAGGTATATTCTTTAAGCTGTATCGCGGCTGTCAGAGCCTGGATGGGAAACCCAATGTACTGATGGTACCACGTAGTATAGGGTGTTGCCCAAGGAACCTATAAGTCGGCAATCAGTAGGCGTGTTGCAAATGATGTCCTGCATCTGATAGAAAGCGGTTTTCTCACCTGGCCGATCCCAAGCCATAGCTCCGACTCTTTGATATTCGTGGCTGACTTGTCGTACCGGGTCAAGAACCGAGTGGGAATGGTGGTGTTAGCAAGGTCAGCGGCTTCAAATAACCTCGCAAACAGAGGGATAATCTCCATGGACGAATTGACGTTGGCAGGGTTCTCAGGAGGGCCAACAACCAGAAAATGGTCACGGAAGATGTAGTATGTTTTTGGGTCGACGATATCCCCCTTGACAGCGATCATCTCTGCCGCCTTGTTGTATGTGATTCCTACATCGGCGTCACCGCTCTGTAGGTACTTGATTGAGAAGGTTGTGTCGCTTAGCACCCAGCCCAACTGGAAGGGCAGCGATCCATTATTTACGCTTTCTTGAATAAACGCATCTGCTAATGCTAGTATTCAAACTTAGTATTGTTGACTATCCAGTGCCTGGGCTGTGCTTGCTTACCCTTTACGAGTCCACTTTGCCCGGCGCCCCCATTGGCAATTCTTAGCAGAAGAGGCGATGTGGTCGAATTGTATCCCCCATCGTAGATCTCTTTAGGGTCCACGGCATTAACTGCCGTACCATAAAGAATGAGGATAACAGCATTCAGCAAACGCATCTTGACCCCAAGTACCAGACTTATGTGGAGAGTCGCAGTTCAGGAGGAGACTCTGTTTCAAGACAGAACTATTTCAATGCGAGACATAGAAGAAAACCCCAGGCCCGTTGTGATCTTAGTATGGGTCATCAGTGTTTATATACACGACTTAAAGCAAAGAACGATGCATTCGGCATCTTCTCAAGACGCATTCGACGTCTTGTCAAGAACCCGGAAGGGGCTTGGGGGCACTGGCGGGGTAGGAGGCTAGCAGTGGCGCCAGAGAGTTTACCTAAGAGGAGCTATACAACACTAGCAAGAGTTTTAAATCACTGCTAAAGACGTGTTTGAATAAGACAAACACAAGCCTTTGCCTGCAGATAGGCGCAGGGCATCTGACCTGCACATGTGGGCGCCAGCCTGTACCAGCATCGGCCTGGCCACAAGCCTGGCAAGGAGCTCCGCAATTTGCTATCGCATTGAAAGCTACTTGACTGAAATGTCTATTGGCACATTGAAGTCCATAACGGAGGTGCTGGTTGATTATGGAATGGCAAGTCGAAGTGAAAGCCATCGCCGGCAGAAGCTCTAGAAGGACGATCGAGGCCATAGGCCCAAATAGTCACTCTTAACTAGTCACCATTAACTGCTGACTGCCCCTAAATTGACTCCTTTACTCTTGGACATATGCTATTCCTTCAATGGCCACCAAGCGTTGTCTACAACTCCGTGGTTTCACTCCGACCATACCGGCTATCATCTCCCTGTAATAATCCGGTGTGAGCACCTGAGCTCATGCATTCGCTTGAAACACGCCTTTCCTGGAATCAACCGGTACTGACTGGACAGTCGTAGGCATTTGAGCCCAGAAAACTAACTGTTGAATGAGGGGCTTGCTTATGTGTAAACACTGAGTAAAGTAAGGTACTTCGGTGTGGCGCTGCCCTTAAGTGGCATTGTTGGTTATCACCAGGGTGGTGATACGGTTAACCGTACGTATCAATAGGCAATGACGAATAATAGGGGTAAATACCGGTTCTGAATTATGCGTAAAGGAAAGGAAACTATCGTGGGATTACGCGGCGAATCCACCGCGTAATATCCCCGTGGATCCGGTGGATCCACGGCGAATTGGCCGTAGTTATTCCGGCCATTCGGCGTTAATCCATACCGCCGATATCCAAGCGATGGTCAACATCGCAACAGGCATCTTGTTTGATTTCAAACAGCTACGTGGAGTCAGTAGGGCAGCGCTTGTGTCTTGTTAAGGAGATATATCAGAGGTAGCAATAGTTGATTCTTCTACCCTACTCTAAGGCTTATTTATTGTGATGAATGAGAATGAGGCACTAGAACACAAAAGTGGTTCCACAATTACCGTGCTGCAATTATGGCTTATATCACCTTGTGACACACCCCCTCAAATCTGCTACCATACGTTATGGCTGGTCTAATAGACTGTTTACTCTTTAAACCTTTTAATTAGGTACATTTTACTAAAATCTAGGTAGTAAATCTCTAGCAGTCTGTCTAGAGGACTTTAACAGGAATCAAACCTATAGGGTAACACTGTCTTGTGATGCCATACAGCACGCTCAAACCATTCAGGCACAAAGTCAGGGTTAAGTAGAGCTGGGCTTATAACTGTGACGAATAAGAATAAGGCACTAGAACACAAAAGTGGATCCATAATTGCCGTGCTGAAATTGTGGCTTATATCACCCTGTGACATTTATATACCTAAAGTTGTACCAACGGAGATCTTTCCGGGTTTGGTTGTCCGTCGCAACACAAGATACAAGCATTTTCTATTATATTATACTGGAAATGCTTATGATTATCGTGATATAAGAATCTACGCCGTTGTGTATTTTTGTATAGTAAAAATTTTCTAAGAACTTGTGTTTTTCCTTTCTTCTCCCTACGAACCCTGTTTCTAACCTGTTCCACCAGTACTCATGTGCCTCGGTCGTAGCTGTCGGACTAAGTATGCCAATGTGCAGCAGTTGGCGTTTTCTTTCCTCGTTTAATGCCTTCTATCTCATTTTCCATCGTTGGGGATAACACTCGAGATTGTGTACTCCTTGGTGACGGTAATGTGGTTATGTCCGACGTCATGTCTTTTTGTCGTCGTCGAATTACGCTTGATGTGATTGGTCTCCGACTCTATTTGAGCAGTATTTGTATTTGTCAACAAAGAAGGGTTGTGGTTCTGTTTGTCTGAAGAGCCGATGGAAGCTTCTTCCTCGCCAATTGACTTTACGGCCTTGTCGGAGACGATATGTTCATCTGAACCCCAGGCGGTCTCGTTTGGGATTGATAGTGGATGGCTTCCGCTCTTGGGCCCCTTTTTGCCTGGGTAGCTTCCAAGACGGTAGCCGTTGCTATCTCCCAGGTTGCTATTTTTGTTGGTGCTTGCGATGCTTTTGTCAATGTATGTTTTGAATAGGGGGTAGACCATGGGCATGTTCGTAAGCACTACTGAAACGAAGGATTCTCGGACGGACCAGTATCCGGATTGTGCTGGGTCAGTGTCACCAACCTATGGAAAGGCGTGTGAGCGCATATCAATATCTCCGGGCTTAGCTTTAACACTTACTGTTAGGATAGACACGCAACGCAAAATACCGAAAGTCATCTCGAGGAATCCTCCGCTAAACATGACCATAAGAGTAACCTTCTTCCGCCATGGAAGACGTGACTTCCAAACCATCTACATCGCGGCAAGTCAGCATCTCCTAGTGTCCCAACCATGACTATAGATAGGTAGAATAGATCGACTTACAGGGAGTGGGATGGCCATCAGATAGAAGTCCGTAATGGTGTTCATAGCCATGACAAATATCGTCTGAATGAAAGAGACCGCAGGCATGCAATGGTCTGCGGCTGGTAAGTACGAGTATTTTCCAGAATCGTAGACTATAGTACTCACTTCCTGGAGAGGGATAGATTTGCCATTGGTGGTCGAAAGGAATGCATTTGAAGAAAGCAACCAGGAGACAAGAAATGTAGGTAGCTGGCATAATGATCATAGCCCAGAAGATGAGACGATCCATATGTCTAACACCCTCTCTGTTGGACGTGTCAGTGTCTGAGATCAGCAACAGCTAACGGCGTGACAAACGTTAAGCGCGCATAGTACGAAACCCAGCAACCCTTCAATAGCCACAACAGTGTTGTGTAGAGGAGGAGGCCGATGACATGCGTCTTCGATCCGTTGACTCGCAACAGCCACTCTTCTGACCCGGGGACAACAGCAGCCCGTTGTTCATCCGTCAGACCATTGTTGGCTAATCCTTTCCAGTATGCTACGACATAGTATGCTGCAACCGACTCGGCCGTGTAAACAAGCTAGACCAGGCGGTCAGACACGTTGCTCTTCAGCTTCAGTAGAGAAAACTCACAATTGCTATGGCCATTAGGGCATCGTCCCAAGCAAATTGTCGCCATCCCAGCGTGGAGGCCCGGTTGTAGTATCGCAGTCCGACCACAAGGTACGCCGTACCCTGCAGTCCCCAGACCTCGCTGATGAACCTTTTGGCTTCGTCGGACATAGGAAAGTGCAAAGATTTGACAAGTGACAAGTAAAGGTTCGGTCAGCAAAGAAGTGCCCAAGTCTAGCAGGTAGCACCAAATATAATAAAGCCCTAATCGGGAAAGACAAGGTGGAAACAACTGCGAGAGTAAAATTTGAACGAAGCACCATCCGGGGTAGACGTGAGCACCCTGTTTCAAGAGGCTGAATTCAGCCGTCCAAACTGATGGGTCTCGTTCTTGCTGTATAATGCCTATCTCGGTTCCATGCTCCTAGCTTAGTGTTCCAAAGTTTCAAGGCACGTCCTGTCAATCGCAAGGGTGCCAAAGGGTTGGTCCGCTTGCATGCCTCGCATACAGTCATTACGTGGTACTGGGCAGGGTTGGGAATAAGTAACTTCAAGTAATTATTTCTAAAAAAATACTTACTTAAGTATACGGATACTTAAATACTTATTACATAATATTCTAAAAGAATTTCTTAGTAAAGTAAAAGAGACAAAGCTAATACTCTACCCTCTAGTCATGTAACTAGTCACATGACCTAGGTAGCTAGCTAATCTAGCCTATAATATACCTTGTTATCTATCTTTTTCTTATATAATGGTATCTGGCTGAAGTTTTTTCCCCCTGTTAGGTAACTAATGCTTACCCCCCTACTATAGAACTTTACTTTTAGTGAATATTACCCCTCTATCATGATGTCGGCTATGGGGGATAACATCATAGGGGGGGAAAACTTACCCCTGCCACCCTGTATAAGCAAGTATTTAAGTATACTTAAGACTTACTTAAGTATACTTAAGTATTTGCTTTAGAGAATTTTACTTACTTATACTTAGTAAGTATTTTTAACCTAGACTTATACTTACTTACTTAAGTATACTTATACTTTTACTTATATTTAAGTATTTTTTCCTAACCCTGGTACTAGGAGCGCCTCCTGGAGTCAAGACCCATATACAGACAGTATGAATGAGTCAGTACGATTAGAGTGTGTATTTTCCAGAAGCGTCAGAGGTTAATGTAGTGCTGTCACTGGGCCAGGGTTAGTGGTGACATTTGCCGGTAAAAGGTAAGTACGGATAGGCCGAGAATGGAGGAGGCTACCCCGGTCGAAGTCCACCTGGGGATAATTTATCCAAGGCAGTTCCTCCCCCTATACAAGATCGTACCAGTCCACCATAAAAAACAGAGTCGAAAAACGGAATATTAAGCATCTTGTGCGATACTCAATGAAATAAAAGGGTTATAGACAGAAATAGAATATTACAGGGTGGCAGGGCCAAGTTAATTGCCCCTATGATGTTACCCCCCACAGCTGATCCCATAATTGAGGGTGAATATTCACCAAAAGTGAAGTCCTGTAGTAGAGGGGGGGGGGGGGGGGGTGAACATTAGTTACCTAACAGGGGTAATTAACTTCGGCCTGGTACCATCGTACTTGGGGTGTAACACGGGGTGAAAATGTTATACTACGTACATTGTAGAAGCACTTGCCCCCTCGCGGTGGTGGAGAGCTAGTTCGTTCTCGAGTGGACCTGTATTGGTCGATCTGGGCTTGAGCTACGATCAAGGCGCGGACATCAGCAGAGCGACTATATTCATGCGTATATCTCAAATGCTAAGTTTCGGGTTGCAGCAGTCACCTGACTCATGGAAACTGGAACGTTGTATTGGAAAAACTATTGAGTAATCATGGTGCCTGTATCCTGGTGACCGAGTCGATTGCACCTTGACTCAACCATGTCATGCGGTGTCCCTGCTGCTACTTGGGCACGTACGGACCCGAGACATCATTCGGTAGACAACCAACAGACTTCATTTGTGCCATCCAACTACCGAGAGCGCTTCTCCCACTAGCGCGGCTTGGAAGGCGTCTGTCGGATACCATCACCCTTGACGACACTGCAGAAATCCTGTCATATACTGCCCAGAATCCTGAGTCTCACGTATCCTTCGCTTGTGACATATTCCTTGTTCTTGGTTGGTCGCTTGCGTAACAGCAAATTTGTTGAGTTTAGTTCTGCTACAGGACTACATAGTAAGGACAGTCAGGTAAATATTTTCAGGGCGCCGGAGTCTCCTCCGGGATCCCGCAATACCATGTCGACAGGGCCACAGAACAAACAAACCACAGGCGACAAAGGAACCGCCAAGAGGTTGCACGGCCGCAAAGACTGGAGACACCTATCGGTTCATTCAATCCGGTTCCATGAGGGTCACATTCCTAGTGGAGTGGCAAAGAAAACAACAACTTCAAATGAACTTTTTGTCACATACCTAATGCAATATGGCAGGTATAATCTGATTAACTTTTGTCATGTCACATTGTTCATTGGGAAGTTGGACTGTTTTGCAATAAATTTTTGCCGCAATCCCTGTGTGTGACTGTCACCACCTACCAGTGAGTGGCAAGAGAATCTGTCCGATATTCTCTGCTTCTGGCTGCGCCTAGTGGATCCCCCTTCTCCTATTTGACAGACTCTGCGCATTATAACAATAATTGCCTTACTTGGAGGCACACACAAGGGTCGTAATTCTAACTCGGTTTACCAAGTTTACCCCCTCACTCAGAGTATCATTAGACAAGGCTACTCTTTGGGTCATCTGAAAGAGAAAAGCTAAATCCAAAGACGCTCTCGAAGTCTCTAGTCCATTGAACTGCCGAGAGTGATGTATCCACAATGCAACCGCACACCCTGGACTCCCGCTCCATTTATACGCGTACATAGCATGCCCAATGTTGTACCTCAATCAATGCGCTATTCTGCTAGGTACCGGTATTTGAAAACGGCCCATTGCGGGATGGCGTTGGAACAAGGATTGTTTTACCTATCTAGTCTGTTCTTGGTGACCCATTGTCAACGGGATGCTCCCGAGAGGAGTCCAAGCTCCACACACACCAGCTGTTCCACATAACCCCGCAACCTTGACAGCCTCGTCGTTGGACGACACTCTGTGTAGGTATTCTCCTTGACCAGCTCATTTCCGTCTTTATCATGGCCAATCATCTTGTGACCTGAAAACCCCTCGAATGCTGGTGGGGGTAAATCAGAAAAACAGTTGCCCTCAAGAACGAGTCAATATGCTTGCAGACCCCGCGACCTGAGAAATTGCATAGGCATGCAACCCATCTCGCCTCGTCTTGTTCACTGCAGTTTTACATCACTTTCCTTTCCTCCTTAACTCTCTGTCAAACTTAACTTTTTGTGGCACTCCAGTCTCTTTTGCCATTGTCCCAAGCCCAACCGACCAAGATGGGTAGTCAGGTTCCTGAATCAAATGTGGATGTGTAAGTCTTAGTTGCACGTCATCAAATGATTTGCTTATGTGGTGCAAAATAATGACGACTCACTAACGTTGTGTCACAGTCTGATCATTGGTGCCGGCCCTTCAGGGTAAGTCCTGCGTGCCTGCCAACCTTTTTGGAGTTCATTCAAGTAGTCAGTTGCATTTGCTAAAAGATGAGACGCACAGGTTGATGGCCGCCGCCTGGATGGCACATTGCGGCGTGAAAGCCCGCATTGTCGACAAGAGAGGCACAAAGGTCTTCTGCGGCCAGGCCGATGGGCTCCAATGCCGCAGCTTGGAGATTTTTGATTCGCTGGGCTTCGCGGACCGTGCCTGGAAGGAGGCCAATCACATGATCGAGGTATGATGCCACTCTCCGTCTCCTAAGATGTCTCACTGACCATTTCTACTAGATCTGCATGTGGGTATGTGATTCGCTGATCTTGAAATTCCAGAGGAGTATGCCTGCTCATATGTCTACAGAACCCTGGAAACGACGGTGTCATCCGTCGCAGTGATAGAATTCCGGATACCATCGTAGGCCTCTCGCGCTTTCAGCAGATCGTTCTGCAACAGGGTCGAATCGAGCGCTTTTTCCTCGAAAACATCAAGAAGTACTCCAAGGACCAGATCAAGGTCGAGCGCGGGGTTCTCCCTGAGTCTCTCGAGATCGACTTGTCCAAGGTTGACGACGACTCTGCCTACCCCGTGACTGTAAAGCTTCGCCAGCTCTCGGAAGAAGAGGCTACGCCCCCTCAGGTACCCAACGCGAGCAAGATCTCCGACGGTCTCTTCCGAAGCAACCTTGTGCAGGAAGATGATGAAGAAGACTTGATCAAGAAGAGCCAGGCTAGAGCCGGTGCAAGCGAAATTGTCCACGCCAAGTATGTCATTGGCTGCGACGGCGCTCGTAGCTGGACTAGAAGAGCTCTCGGATTTGAACTCGACGGAGAGGCTACTGACTTTATCTGGGGAGTCATGGACATCATCCCCATCACTGACTTCCGTGAGTGTTTCCATTAGATGCTTGGCTTGAGAGAAGATTCAATGCTAACCTTGAAGCAAAACAGCCGATATCCGCATGCGTTGCGCCATCCACTCGGCCGAGAACGGTAGTTTGATGGTAATCCCGAGAGAAAACAAGCTTGTTCGTCTCTACATCCAGCTGAAGGAGGTTACACCTGATGCGTCTGGGAGAGCGGACCGATCCAAGATCACTCCCGAAATCATCTTTGCCGCCGCTCAAAAGATTCTCAGCCCCTACAAGATCGACTACGAGTACTGCGATTGGTGGACCGCGTATCAGGTATTCTCACTATAACCCTCTCTTTCAGTGCGGAAGAATGGTATTGATTGTTGTTAGATCGGTCAAAGAGTTGGCACCAACTTCGACGCCCACAGCCGTGTCTTCCTTGCTGGAGATGCTGTCCACACCCACTCCCCCAAGGCGGGCCAGGGCATGAACGTCTCAATGCAGGACACCTACAACCTTGGCTGGAAGATCGCCCTGGCCGCCAAGGGCATCGCGAAGCGTGATATCCTAAGCACCTACCAGAGCGAGCGCCGTCGGGTTGCTCAGGACCTGATCGAGTTTGACCACCGCTTCAGCCGTCTCTTCTCCGGTCGTCCGGCCAAGGACGTCATGGACGCTGAGGGAGTTAGCATGGAGGAATTTAAAGACGCTTTCCTTAAAGGAAACATGTTCGCCTCAGGGCTGTCGGTTGACTACGGCCCCAGTAGCCTTGTTGTTAAGGCTGGCGATTCGTTGAAGCAGGGCGACGGCAGCAAAGTTCTCGGAACGGTTACTACCATTTCCGAGGAGGACTTCAACCAAAAGCAGTCCCTTGCATCTGGCTTGCCCGTCGGCATGCGCTTCAACAGCTTCAAGGTCCTCAATCAGGCGTGTGCGCGCCCATGGCACTTGCAGGAGAGACTCAGGGCTGATGGCCGTTTCCGCGTTGTTCTCTTTGCGGGCAACATTCTGGACCCTGCCCAGAAGGCCCGCGTTGACAAGTTCTGCGCGGCGCTTGACGCTCCCGAGAGCTTCCTGCATAGGGCCACCCCCCCGGGAGCCCCTATCGACAGTGTCATCGAGGTTCTTACAATCCACTCCTCAAAGCGCACTGACACCGAGCTGTTGAGAGATTTCCCCGCCGTTCTACATCCCTTCGACCCTCACACTGGCTGGGATTATAACAAAGTCTTTGTGGACGACGAGAGTTACCACGAGGGTCACGGTGAAGCATACAAGAACTACGGCGTCGATAGGCAAAGGGGCTGTGTCGTTGTCGCCCGACCTGATCAGTATGTTGCTTGGATCGGCGAACTGGAGGATTTTGATGATTTGCAAAAGTACTTTGAAGGCTGTCTCGTGTTGGGACACCATGGCAGCAATGCTAATGGCACGAACGGAGTCAACGGGCAGGCAAATGGCACAACGTTGCCTATTCGACAATAAATGTTAACTCGTGCCCCTCCTCATAGGGGAAGATTTTGCTTGAGTCGCATAATGGATTTCTCGTCAAGAATTGTTAGATCGCGGCCTCTAACATATGAACAACGAGGGTAAACACTTGGTCGCCATTAGCCCGTGCGAGGTTGAACACGCAGTGTCCACAATTATGAGTGGGAGATTTTAAGGAGTCATGCAATAACGAGCTTTAGCAGGTCATCATTCTCGTAGAATTGATTGCTCAAGACTAGAAGATTGCACTAGATATTTGGTCAGGTCGAAAATCAGATATCAGATAACAACAAAAGAAACAACGGATACAGATAGGGTACCAAATTGCCACTCATTCCTTAATGATGTCTGAAATTGCCAAAGATTCCATTCTGGCATGGTAAAGATAGCGGTTTACCTCATAGCCCTCGTTTTTCTTTTCAGTTATTCCTTTCTTTGACTGAAATCGTGTTTCGACTTTAGCTTAAACGCAATCTGTTCATCCTAGCAACAACCAGACCCAAAACCTTGTACGGCATTCTCTTGGTATATCTACCAAATGCCTCGCTTTCTCCTCAACTCTGACGAACCACAAATAACGAATCTCTCCTTTTTTCTGAGATCATTCTGTTTCAGAGCTGGAGAGCATTCCTGTTTGACTTTCGGTGGGTAAACCACCCAATACCATGTTACATAGATGGGATCGCCGGAGGTGTCTCTTTATAAATGAAGCCTTCGCCATCTTTTTGCGACATACCATGCATCGCCGACGTGGATCTGGAACTTGATTCTCCTTGGCCCATTGTTTATGATGTACATAGTAGTGCTCGTTACGTTCCTTTGGGGTCGGTAGGCCCTTTCCACATCGCTTGCACTGGATAAGACGGGCATGTCGCTTTTCGTGCCGACTGCTTCATTTCAGTAGCCTGTTCATAATTTCAATCCTGCGAGTCTCAGAAAACCTACTTGAACTTTTGGCCAAGCTTGTACGATCGCTTGTGTACTCTACAGTAGACGTAGCCGGGGCGAGATTCTAATGCCACAATTAGCGAAACTTTGACCTCAAGAGATGGAAAAAGACGGAGCTACCAAAAGAAAAAGACATTTCGAGGGGTTCCTCAACTAAAGATATCGCCTCAAGATGTAAGTTCGGACCAGCACAGAATCCAACCAACCCATGGGCATGGGGAGAGAAGTCAGAAGCGCGTGGCGAATTCGACAACTAAGTCGCCTCATTTGGTCCGGACTCAATACTAGAGGATCCACCGGCAGGGGATATTTCGGGGTTTAAAGCAGTCTCATTCTGTATCTCGTTCCCTTTGCCTTTTGCCAGAAGAAATGCATCTATACCACTTTCGTACGGCCAGTTGTCCATAACCGACATGTCTGAGAGCATGGATGTCATTTCAATGGGTGTAGAAGTTAGTTCATGATGTTCCGCATCTATTGAGTATGGCAAATGTGAATTAGGGTCGTCGATCGGGACATGGACAGCATCGATGGAAATTTCTGCGGGTTTCTTAGTTCTCTGCCGTATGCACTAAGTTTATGCGAGTAGTTACCTGGACTTAGGGGCTCGTACGATTCTAGATGGAGGTGCAGGTCCTGCAATGAATCATTCTGCTGCGAGAGGAGATTCATCGTGGAGGGAGAAATAGGGTCATGTAATAATAGCACACGGGATACTCGTAATTTGAAGAGTGGGCACAGCAGACTGCTATCAAAAGGTGTTGATAAAGTAAGGCTTCTCTAGGATCATGAGTGTACTAAGTAGACCTTTGCGAGGCTCTGTTTCTCATGCGGCTGGATCGTCAGGGGCGGTTCACTGCATTTAAGTAGTTACCTAGAACCACGCTGAAGCAAAATGCTGGCAAGGTGAACAATAAAAGGTCTGGAAACCCCGCACTTAAGATGCGCTACATAACCGGTCTCTAGGTTCCGAACCTTTTTGGTGGTGACTGTATGGACGGTTCAAGTTTGTGTTGACATCATCATAACCTAAATATCATATTACATGGTAACGTTGGTGTATCAAGCTTCCTCCCCGCTCGTAAGCTCCTTCGTCCTTCGCACCAGCTGCCTATAGGAACGGAGGACACGCCTCGGTCGGTGTTGATAAACCAATAATTCAACTTTAAATCTGTTGGGAAACACAATTCCTGAAATGGTGGGCTGGCCACCTGCTTTAGATTTCGTCGTTAAGATCGAGGATTTTCGCGAACTCAGTCCTTCGATGGGGGCAGAAGAAGGGCTTGGGAACACCGCGCTTTATCTCCATCATGAACCTCACTGGCAACAGCCCTCGAACAGGGAGATCATTGGTAGCCATTCGCGAAATACAAGCTCCCAGGCCTATAACCAAGTATCAAGAGCGAATATGAATCTACCCGCGCAGAACTGTTCGTTATCTACTTCCTTATGTCTGTCAGTTTTTGGTCTGTTGATTATTAACATGTATGACTTTTAGCCGAGACGGTTCCGATGAGCCACAAAGCACTACACAGATTCTATGAGCCGATCATCCTTCTCAAAGCTTTGAATGTTGAGATGAAGGACGCTGCCGACTTTGTCGATTCTGACGACGCGGGACATCGAAGAGACCCGGAAGAAAAGTTCGAAGCCTTCGTCTATAAGCTGGCCCACGTGTGCGACAGCGTTAAGGGAAACCAAGGCGGCACGATTACCTCGGTCATGGTGCTAGAGCCACATTTCGCAGAAGGTGACATTATCGAGTACCGGTTCGCCTCTAACGGCCGAACTGAAGATGAAGCAGAGGTCACTTCGGAATTTATAAGGTCGCTTCTTGGTCACCTTCGCATTGCGACATTCCCAAACGACGAGCCAGCTGTGCGGAGATGCTTGCTTAGACATGTCCTTCTATTCAATCGAAGTCGGATCGCGTCATACCTGACGGCAATACTTACGGAAGTTCAACGCTCTCTTGACAAGTGCTTGATCGCTCATGACGATGACGAAGGTAAGTCGGAGCTTGACATGGTATATGGTGCAAAAGATTTACTCACTATCTGCATGATGCAAGGCAACACGATTGCGACGACTTTAAGGACTATTCTTGCCTTGCTTGAATTCAATTGGGGCAAGTATGCTTCTGAAACCGAATGTGAGTTGTCTATAAGAGTGTCCCATCCACAGATGGCCAGCTAAGCCCTCCATCCGCCCTCATAAGATATAAGCGGCTGTGTTGCACTCTTGCGAGTATTGATACCCCTACAAAAGTCCACCTCCTCTATAGGCAGATGGATAAGTCGCCATGCACGAGAAATCCGTGAAAACGGGCTGCAGAGTTCCTTGTCTTGCTGGCCCGAAATGTGGCACATGATAAACCGCCTTGCATCCTACGTACATGATGTTGAGTTCTTCATCTTGGCGAAAAAGGAATAGCCAGAGTTGTTTGAAAACTTCAGGATTCACTTCTTACCCTCCAGCGTACCGATCCCGAGACCCATTCGGTCGAAGAGCATGAAGGCGGAAGGAATTGTCGGGCGTATGACGTCCGATACAGAAGTTATCGAAGTATTTCGGGGTTTCGCCAGGGATCTCCAGCTTCAAAATCTCGACGCGAGAATCGAAACCGAGTCTACGAAAAACACTTTCCGGCCAATTGTTCATTCGGAAATCCTACTACTTGACAACCTCGAGAAACGCGGCCCCATAACTCCCGAAAGGTTCTTCCACGGGTGGATGTATATTGGTAGCAGCAAGCCCCTTTGTCGCTTGTGCCAGTACTACTTCGATATGCACCGCTCCGGAGTAAAACACCGTAAAAGCCATCTGAACTTGTACACAAGTTGGAGGCTGCCCGATGTCCTACGGTCTCAGGGCGCCAAGGGCGTGGAAAGAAGACAGAACATGATCAACAGAATGACCGAAAGAGTTCGCCATGACGTATTCGACTTGATACAGAAGAGAGTCCAGCCAATGCACAGGAACCATGATAGCTTCACATCTTCGGTGAGATTCACGCTGGATGGGAGGTGGGCCATGGCCTCTACTGCCTCGGATGTTGCGTCGCAAATGGAAAGCTTGGCTTTGGAAGATTATGAGGATGATGAACAAGGTGGAGTTGCCTTGGCCAAGACAGATATTTAGTCAGCTGGCTGATCCAGCCCCTTGCGACTGGCGCCATAAAAATAGAACTCTTCCTTTCATCTTCCAACATTCTCCAACCCCGCAAACCTCAAACCCCTCACGTCACCCCCATATTCCACGACATATTGAAACTGTATGTAGTCACTAGATTGTCACAGTTAACATGAATGCCACAAGGTCCGCGTCACTGCAATTCGTAGCTGACCATCCTGTCGTTACGTGCATCGCGGTTTTGGCCGCAACATATTTTCTTCTCGCACGACGAAGTCGAGATGAACCGCCCTCTCTTCCCGAGATCTTGCCATTCGTAGGCAATACGTATCAGTACATGACAAACCTACCAGCTTTGATGGATCGCGCCAGGTACTTGCCCTGGCAATGTTATACTGACAGGTTTTGGAGCTGACTCCGATTCCCTATAAGCCATGCCATGATCCATAGCAACTTTGTCAAACTCTGGCTTGGGCCTATGCGTCTGTACCTGATAAAGGGAGAAGAGAATGTGCAAGCCATATTCCGATCCTCGTCAACCTTCACCTATGAAAAGTTCATCCTGCTAGTCATCAAAAACCTGCAAGGTACGTCAAAGGAAGACGTCGAGAAGATGTCCAAGGACAAATCAGGCCGCAACAAGGCGCCGGCTCCGGGTTGTGAAAATGTACCCCAGGACCAGAGGTACTGGTACCAGTTCCACCACCTTGTCACGGAAAACATCTCCAGGACCGAGATGACGAACCATTTGGTCGTCATGTACATGAAATTTTTTGGCCAGGCTACAGCGAAACAGCCGTCGGGAGAATGGACAACTGTGCGGTTGTTCGACTTTCTGAGGAAGGACATGGGAGAGAGTGCGCTCAAATCCCTGTGCGGCACACGAATCCTGGAGCTAGTGCCCGACTACATTGATCAATTTTGGCTCTTCGACAGCATCGGCGTTCAAGCGGTGTACGGCCTTCCGAAGTGGATAAATCCAAAGCCGACCGAAGAACGCGACAAGCTGAGCCGCATGACACAGGAGTTTTTGAAGAATGCTTTCTCCACGTTCGACTGGGATGGACCCGATGTTGACTCGAAATGGGACCCGATCTTTGGGTCCCGCTACATACGCCTTCTTATGAAGTGGCTGACCGACAGAGATATGTCTATGAGGACTAGAGCAGGCTTTCACATGATTTCAGTGCTTGGGTGAGTTCGCCTCTTGTTCAATGATCATCAATCTGTCTATGGCGTTCGTCTGCTAACAGTTCAGCATCAACGCAAACACCATACCGGTGACGACTTGGGCTCTTATGGAAGCTTTACAAGATCCTACTCTTCTGGAGGCGCTCCGCGATGAGGCCCTTCAGACGATCACAAAAGATCCTGCCACTGGAGAACGTTCGTTCGACACGGCAAAGCTTGTCTCTATGCCCCTCATGCAGTCCGTATATGTCGAGTGTATGCGTCTTCATGTTTCGATCGCCATCACCAGAGAGGTCGCTAAAGCGACAAACCTCCAAGGCTATCGCTTAGAAAAGGGGTCCATCGTCCAAGCTCTAACGAACCTCATGCATCTAGATGAGCAGACATGGGGCCGAGAAGGCCATCCTGCCTCGGAGTTCTGGGCAGAAAGACACATCAAACAGGTTAGAAAGGTGGATGAACGTACGGGCGCCGTGACAACGGAAAGGCAGTTCGTCATGAGCGCTAAGCCCAGTGAATTCTTCCCATACGGTGAGTCGTCCCTCCTGGGATTTTCGGCCTTGAATCAATACACATTGAACCATGCCTGATAACTGACAACACCTACTCATTAGGTGGAGGTGTTTCCATCTGCCCTGGGCGCTTCTTCGCAAAACAGGAGATCATACTATCTATTGCCATGATTCTCACGAGATTCGATGTTGAGTTTGTGGAGTGGACTTGTAAGGACGGATCCAAGTCCGAACGGCCACCTACTGATGACCCGCATTATTTTGGGTCAGCTGCTGTCCCGCCGGATAGGGATGCCAAAATCCGCTGGAAGCGACTGTGGTAGAGCATAAGTGCCATGATACCGAGATCTTGTGAGTAGAACAGAGGGCCTCTTGGGTTCGAGGTTTGGCTAGGGGGTAAAAGTGTTCGATTGATGAACATAGTTGCTCTAGACCTCCATCAATGGTCTAGTTGGGCATGCTACTTCGATAATCTCCACTATGGCTTTATATATACATATCTGAGAATATAGACAAAAGAAAGGGTCAACCCTTGGTAGCAACGTGAGCCGGCTCACGGTCGATTCGCATCATCGGCGATCCAGCGTCTAGGCCGAGCTCGGGGTAACAGTAGCATCGACGTTCTTCACGAGCATTTGCACGTACTCGTGAAACCAAGCCCCAGCCACAGGAGCGCCCGCCATACCGCACTGTCCGTCTCTCTCGCCGGCAGGCTTCACCCAAACAACCGAGTCGATGTGGGTGTTGTTCAGCGGGTTGCCGGGCTACATGCCGAAGCCGGCAGGGCTGACATTGCACCACTCACCCCAATCCTTTCTGCTGTATGAAATACGGCCTTGGTCGATGATGAACTGGGAAGGCAAGCTATTGGCCTCGAGGTGAGGAGCGAGAGAGAGGGCATAGTGGCTCTCGTCATAGGACTTGCTCCCCCTGGCGTAACTCAGGGGCTGGTTGGCAAACAAGGGGTTCTGCTGATATGTTACTCTCATTGTTACATCTGGAGGCCAGGAATTGTACACACGTAGTTGGAGACGTTGGTCGAAAATCCACGAATCATTGCATTCTTGCCAGCCACCTTCACAACCTTGGAAAACTCCTCGGCCGCTTACAAGTTGTTAGCTTTATTGACATAGCAGAGGTCATCTGAAGTGCTTACCAGGGCCCAGATTGCTATCCCAGCCCAACCAACCTCCGTTGGCGGCACCGATATATAAGCTGACATGGTCGTACTGCATGCAGGCTTGCGATGGCATGAGCGATACCATCCTCGTACGACGTCTTGGTCTTGGTACAGAGCGAGACGTCCTACATTGATCACAGTCAGCAAGAGGCTTTCTCGACAAGCGTACGTTTCCAACTACCGTGCTCATGACAGCGTTGGCCAAAGCATCGCGCTCGAGGATCACGGCAAAGTGCAGATCGGTCGCGGCAGCCAGCTTCTCCGTGTAGGGCTTGATAAAGGTATCCTTGTACAGCTGTAGTCCGTTCTTGTCGACGCTGGACTCGCCGGCACTCTCTCCCGCGCTGCAGTCTCTGTCGGGAAGGTTGTACAGCACCAAACCAACGGTCTGCTTCTGGCCGGTCTTCGCCTGGGCCGCGCGGGCGCCCTTGATGGCGGTGTCGATGTCGGCCAGCATGGCGGTGTTGGAGACCCACACAAAGGTGCCGATGTTCTGGATCGTGCGGACCTTTCCGGCGTTTGTGGTGTCGCCCTTGTTTAAGAAACTTTTGTGGGTTATCTCAAGCTTCTGAGCCCACTCTGGGTTGGCGTATAGCTTCCTGCCTTCAAACGGGTGGGTGGAAGCTGTCGCGCGGCCGACACACTGGCTTCGAATTCCATGGCGTGGCGATGCCGATACGGTGCCGAGGGCAGAAAGAAGGGCGATGACGGAAGCGAAATGCATTTTGAAAGTTCAGATAAATGAGTGTAAGAAAAATGTACTGTAAGTATCCGACCAGCGGGCTTGATGGGATATCGAAAGAAGAGAAACGGCATTGATGTTTGCGTGGCTACCCGTTCTTATAGCCGCGTGGAATGCCACAATCATGGCCAACGATGGCGTGGTCTTCAACTACGGAGCTTACTCCGCCATCTGAAGACCGGAAGGATAGGCCCCTCATCGCATTGCGACACATCGGTATGACCAAGGGATAGCGAACATCCAGAGTTCTCCGTCTGTAACGACTCTGTAGGGTAAGATCAGACCATCATGCCGTGCAAAAGGCCGAAGTTAGGATGAAGTAGGATAGCAATCTGTATGTAATATATCGCCCCGCCGAGAGCAAATCTGATACTGACCGCTGTCCTGGGATAGTGCCCGGCATTTAGTTTGCAGATAAGTAAAAGCTCCGAAAACTTAACGGTGATGCGCCGTGCCGGTCCGTTAACTATTAGCAATATGGGCTGTAAGGTAATCTCAAATAGATTGCCTGTCAGCGAGTATAAACCGAGATTTATAGAATCTCGTAACTGAACCTCCCTATCAGCCAGGGCTGTTAGATCTTTTGGAGATGGCTCCCTTCCAGCTGCTATACCAGGCGTATGTTGCTGGGACTGTCTGGGTAGAGGAGAATGAAGTCTCAACAAGTAGACCATGAATCATCACAGTTTTCATTGTTCATACAAAACCATGTCCTTTTGGGGAGAAAGCTATAGTGAGCATGAACCTGTGTTTGGGGGCGACGGCGGGATAGAAACCCGGGGTAAGAGATTGTGATCGGCACACTGGCAACGTGGAATCCTCTGACAGCTCGATTAATTAACATACACCGGACTTCGAATACAATGAAGATGCCGCGGTGATCCCGGTGTATTGTCAATAACCCACAGAACCACCGGTTAAAGTGGGTGATGAAACGGGGAGGGATAATATAACAGTGACCAATATTCAATCCACTCATGATGCCCGGTTTTCCTGTTGATTAAAGCAAGCCTCTTTTTTCCTCAAAAGTCGCAGAATTGACGATATTATCCTTGTGGCTTTTCTCTCCTGCGACTTCTGCTACATCGTGTAACTCATGGTTTATCATCGAGGGATCAGTGCAGTTGTACTATGAATCCATCCTATTGCAGACTTGCAGTTTGATATCTCCTTGTTAATTTGCATCATCGCTTCTTAATCACGACTTAGGTGGCAAATACGGGCTGTGCCGGTCACCAAAGTAAGTCCTGCGAATCCGAATGTCTAGTGATAAGCCTCGACTCGACCCTTGAATATGAGAACCGCTCATGCCAGCGACTGTGGCATATCCCGCTACATTTCAACAATGCAAGGGTTACACTGCATCGTTGGCCACTGCATGGGCCAGAGTGACAGTTTAGTGGTTTATGTTAAACTTACCGGTATTAAGGACGGTAGCCATCTATCCACAATTCCCATCATCATCCCGACTCGGCCCGGCCCTCCTTTCCGGTTCCATTCTCTACTAGGTAGCAAACCTCGTTCAAGTTCAAGATTAACGCCATTTGATCGCCGCAAAGACCTTTCTCGCAGAGGAGACCAACTCCTACACTAGCTACATTCTCCTCTAATGATACTGTATCCTTTTCTCTGCCACCCCAAAGCAGCAACAAAAATTGCTATCCGCTAATGACACGTCACGGACCCCCCTAGAGATGCCACGACATCACTCGTCCAACGCCAAGAATCTTCAGATCGGGGTCTCAGAGCAAACCATACTGTAAGAGCTACTAGACAGCAGACAAACTGCACCCACGCTTACCAAAGATATCCTATCCATCATTGTTTACGCCACTATACAGAACTATAGAAACAGGGAATGTCTGCTATCGAGAAAAGGGTGCGAGAATGATGAAATTTGATTTTCCGTCTGTCCTGGAGTGAAGGATCAAATGGATGAAGTACAGGGCCCCCTATTAAGCAATTTCGACCTAAGGCACGGATGCCAACTGAGGGAGTGACTTACAGCTGATGAATGCTACAATCGACCCCCAGCCAAAATCCGCAGAAGAGGATTATCATGGAAACTGATGCCGGCATGGCTTAGCGGCACCTGGTGATACACATACAAGCTAGGAAACAAACAAAGAGTCAGTTTTCTCGTTTGAGACGCTTCTTTATTTCTATTATCACGTTTCTCTCCGTTAGTTTCAAGGAGTAATGCCTGCTACTTTGGGTCGGTGAATCCATCACGGAAAAGGTTGCCTCCGGTTCATCCACAAGAGAGAAGTGAGGGCGGGAGGAGAGTTGCGTAGAAAAGCAAGATCCCCCGCTGACTGATGTAGGTTCTGTTCAGGCTAGGTAGTTGACAAGCAACTAAGGTCTCTCTTTAATATGAGAAGGCATTAAGACTCTACTCGACTATGACCCTTGTCTTCACGTCCGGTTTAGATAGGTATAGAAAGTTGTTCGCTAGGTGATTCATACATATTAATTCACAAGAGACATATGCAGACCATATATCTTTAAGATGCAGGGCAAGCCTTATCGTTGTATCTGAAGGGGCATTTCCCCTCTGGGTCTGGCGGTGCCTGGCTGACAATTTGCGTCGCCGACTGATCAAAGAGAAGACACACAGGAATAGTGTATGTGCCCCGGTTCTCATTGCCAAAAGCCCAAGCTGTCATGTTCTGTCAGCACGGCATGTCCGAAGTAACATCATGAAAGCGGCCAGATCAAAACTTACAATTACAGGTGTCGTCAGCTGCGCACGCGCTCCTGGCCACCTCAGCATCTGCGCAGCCAACCTGCCCTCCCAGGGTGCCACCCTGAAATTCGGCACCGCACAAATTACACGTCGGCGTTTCGGGGGTCGCCGTAGGCGTGACAAGCCCTGATGTCGGAGCGCTGCTGGCTGGAACTGAGACTGTGGGGGCCGCCGAAGGGACAGAGACTGTGGGAGCCGCCGAAGGAACTGGGACTGTGGGAGTCGCCGAAGGGACTGATGTGGGTGCAAACGAACACGCCTGGCTTAGGTCGCGCCTCATATTCCGTCTTACTCTCCTCCCTATCCCAGAGTTCGGGACGGAACACGATTCGGCCAGGTCGTGTCCATTCCAGGCGATGGGAGGAAATCCCGCCTCAGCGACGCGTGGATATGAAAGCGCACCCGTTATGTTGCGGAGCGTCTCAGCCACCGAGCCTGGTGGCAAGTTGCCAGCAAACTCTGGATGCGACATCCAGTACGCCACCAGACCTGCAACCTGAGGCGCGGCGAAAGAAGTGCCCGAGTCTGTCGCGAGACCCGTCTGATCGAGAGGGTCCGCGCACTTGATGTCGGCGCCGATGGCAAACGTCGTGACAAGATTACCGCGCTGGCTTGTCGGAGCAATGTTGAAATCCGTCCCGGCCGAGCCTACCACGATGATGGGGAGCTCGTTGGCCATTACTGCCGGCAACTTGTCCGGCTCCGTGAGGCCGTCCAGGAATTTGTTCCCAGCAGCCGCGACAACGGGGACATCCAGGTTGATCAAGCCCCTGATGACGCTGCGCATCGAGGTGGTGTAGATGTTGTCAGGCGCCCTGATGAGGATCGATGTGGTGACAACCGCCTTGCCTTTCAGCCCCTTTTGCTTGATTTCGTTGGCGGCGGCCTGGAGACCGCGGAGCAGACCGAACTCGGTAAAATCGATGCGCACGCCGACGAGGTTCGCGCGCTTTGCCACTCCGGCTGTTACACCGACGGCTTTGGAAGCCACGCACGTCCCGTGTTGGGTATCCTCCAGACTGAACTTCTTGTTTCTGGCGACGTTCAACTCCCGGCGGGTGACGTCGGTGCTGGGCGCGGTGAACTCCTCGTGCTGCAGGTCGAATGGGCCGGTGTCGACGACGTACACGGTGATGCCGTGGCCGGCAAAGTCGTCGTATCGATAATCGGGGAGTGTGGCCTTTTGTTTCGGCGGCGTCGAGAGCGTACGCAGGTCAAAGATGTCGTTGTTGGGTATCGGGCTCTGCGCAATCTCGACACGCTTCCGCCGAGTGGCCGACGACTGGGTCTTGTCCGGCTCCGGATCGTCACGTGTAAGAGGATCGTTGATGTCGGCTCCGGCGATGACGCTGTCGGCCTTGACCGTTTCAAGTTGGTCGGAAGTGAGGTTTGCGCGCCAGACGAAGGGGATGTCGGCATCATTTACAATGGTGTCCATGTTGTCTGCGCCGACCAGCCCTGCCAGGGTGTTGCTGAAGCCATCGCCGTCAGCCTTGGCAGTGTTTTCCTTGGCGAAGATGATGTAGTCTGCGCTTGTAGAGCTTGGAACTGCGGACGACGATGTGCTGGAAGTTGACGATGTACTGGAAGTTGACGATGTACTGGAAGTTGACGATGTACTGGAACTTGATACCTCTGAACTGGTGGTGCTAGTTGGTCGTTCTGATTCGGGATTGTCAGACTTTGGTGGATCATTCGGGTTCGGAGGTGCTGAGCCGGCGACGACAGATGCGCCTGCTGCAATGGGCGTTGTAACACCGTTGACAGTGTAAAAGCCGCCAGTGCCAGCACCCACAACTACAACGCCCGGCAACACAATAACAGTCTCCCCATGGTCTACAGTCACGGTTGAAGCCGGGGCTGAAGATGTGGTTGAGGGAGCTGATGACGGTACTGGTGTTGGGGTGATGGAGATAAAAGCCGATGAGGTTACGTTACGAAAACCAGATATTGAAGGGAAGGATGACGTCCCTGGTCTAGGCCGTTGGGAATAACACACCGAAACGAGAGAGAAGAAAAGAACGATGGATTGAATTGAATGCATAATGAGAGCAATGACTAGGAACCCTAGCCAGTAAATGAACGAATGTTCAAGCTCAGTGTATCGAGAGACTCGCCTCTAGACCCTTCGTGTTCCCGAGGTGGTCCAGACCAACCGACTTATGTATGTTGCCTGCATTTCTCAACGTGTGAGCACGGATTCTGGGCATCGGTTGACATACGTTTCACATATATTTGCACGTATAAAAGGCCATGTGGGTTGCAACCCTTATTTTGAATCTAACCTGATTTCAAGTCACGAATCTGCTGGATCTGTCGAAGTGCGTGTATTTGAGTTGCAGATCAGGAGGTGAGTGGTGACAGAACATTAGAAGCGATCTATTTCCGTCGCGCACATGACAACTGTTTGATTATTCTAGTAATAATTGGGCCGCGTGACCTGCTAGAATTCAGGTTAATTACACTTTAAATATTTACGCCAAAGGATATACTAAGTACTTCAATTAGTAGGTGTTAGTATCCCTTTAGTTGCCAACTGACCCCATTAACCCCTTAGTGGACCCCCCTCCACTTCTACTCCTCACTTTTAGAGATACATGACCATACCAAGTATGGCAGGCTCTAGGTAAGGTATTTGGTAATAATAGGCAGACAAAGCAGGAGAAGGCTAGCAAGGCTGCTGAGACTGCGATGTACCTCTATGTAGATTTAGAGATTGTTAGTACTTTTAGTATAGGTAAATGTCACAGAAGGGCAACCCCCTACCTATAAGATGGCAATAGGCCATATAAGTGGTGTTGACAGCAGTGCTCAGTGACCCTACCCTACACAAGAGGTTAATGGGGTCAGTTAGCAACTAGAGGGATATTCCCTCAACCGCGATAAGGCCCCATCTCCACAGCGGGCACCAATCATAACCCAACAAAGGTCAAGAAATGTACAGTACTTCTATCTACGCCTATTTTTGCCTATACTAGAGGTACTAGCTATTTCCCTCTCTTTGAAGAGCCACACTATAAGTTAGGTAATCATGGATTCTTATCACGTGAGTGTAATGTAGAGAAATAAGTAGAGATAGGGCCTTATTACGGTTGAGAGGATAGTAGGTATACTCTAGGGAGGTAAGTTATATAATATTTATATAATACACTACTACCCTAGTAGTATCTTATCCTTACTTAACGTAAGGGTGCTACTATAAGTAGGTGCCTAGAAGTCTAGATATAGCTATAATAATAATACTAAAATCTAATTTACTACTAGAGTAGTAACCTAGGATATCCCTTCAGTAATAGCTAACTATAGAGTATCCCTACTATATATTATTATAAAGATAGCTCCTTAAATTTACTACATGCCTTTTCTATAAAAGTAGGTAATGGTAGCCTCTAGATAGTAGTAGGGCAATCTGTCTGGTTGTAACAGGGCGCTGACAGTGACGCGCCTGCCAATAGATCTTCCAACGCCTGCTCACCCAATTGAGCCATAACGCCAAAAGATCCACCAATGCTCAAGTGGTCCTCACTAAGCACTGCTGTCAGCACCACTTGTATGGCCAATGGCCAATCGCCAATTGCCAATCAATCAATTGGGGATGTCATTCTGTGACACTGGTGCACACAGTGTGATCAGGATTAAGGGTTTAGCCACTAGTTACAGTCACGTGTTAACCTACTGGGAGGTTACAAGAGGTGGCTATCAGACATACAGGGCAAGAAGGACTGGCATACTACTATTATTATTAGCATTACTATTGTTAATATACAGTTGTTACTGTATATGTTATTCTTATTGCCTTTTAAAAAAATCGCCTTTTTAGCTATTGCTTTCTTGAACTCTGTCTATCTAGAGTTGTCTTTTTAGATTATATCCAAGAATTACAAGGGCTATCTTTTAGTAAAATTCTTATTTTTCTACAACGTTGTTGTAGGTAGGTGTAGTTTTTACATCTTTCCTTTCCTTTTCTTTACCAGCCCCAGCGCCCTAGCCTAATTACAACAGCTTAGAAGGATATTAGCAAGTTTTAATAAATACGTATTTATAAAAGGGGTATAGGTAAGCTATACTACTAAATAGTAACTATAGATCTACTATAGGGATTAACGTATTAAGAATACCCTAACTAAGGGCCTAATTAGCTAAACTAATATTAGGGTAATATCGCCTGTACTTTGATATAAAAGTACAGTGTGACAAAAGTAAGTAAAATACCCCTATAATATTGCCCCCTATAACTAACATCATGATAGAGGGGGAATATTCACCAAAAGTAAAGTTCTGTAGTAGGGGGGTAGACGTTAGTTACCTAACCAGGGTATTTAACTTTGGCCTGGTACTATTGGACACAGGGTTAGGGTTAGCGAGAGTTTAATACAAGGTTAAAGGTTAATTTAACGGATGTACTGCTAGGATCCCTGCGACAGCTGTTGCCAGCTGCGCTAAACTCACACTACTATTACCCACTGTTGCCTACTGTTGCCTACTGTTGCTAGCGCCTACCTACTGTTGCTAGCGCCTACCGACTGTTGCTACAACAGTAGGCAACAGCAGGCTACCTGCCTTATCAGTCCTTTTCTAAAGTTTAACCTAAGTCTAGAGGCCAGTACATAACAATTTGTATAGGGAAATTAGGGTTTTTAGTACGTCTGCTAATAGCAAAGTCATGTTTCCTAGCAGTATATAGCCTACTCTAATATCTTTAGAGTTCTATAATATAGAACTAAAATTATAATGTACCCTCGTGTTTTTAGCCTAGTGCAGCATAATTTAAGTTTTTTTGGTCTGTGATATCTGTCCTTATCCGAAGTGTCAAATGATATCGGCGGTGCCGAGCAGGCCCCAATAGTCAAATAACTTCAAGTTTAATTTATTAGCAACACAAGCTAAACCACGTATAACTGAACCTATAAAGACTGAGTATTATGTTTATTGAAGCAAGTGGACGTCAGCTTTAGTAATATTTTGAAAGTATATAAGGCATGGGTGTAGATCTACCAAGCAGGTGCAATGTTGTGCGACGGAAATATCACTTCTGACAATGCACTACAACACAGAAACAGCTAGATATATAAGTTATAGACCAGTGAGGCAGGTTGATTGAATTCAACTCTCGGATAATAACTATAAAATTCATCAAGGCAGTCAAATCTTAGGTTCCAGGATTCCACACGAACTTGGGTTCATTCACAAGATTGCCAGGGACGCGTTTGTCTACGTCATGAGTCATGATGAGCGGTAAAATATAAGTGCGCAACTTCTATACCAGTGAAACCACCGGAATGATCAACCTTGAGAAAGCCTAATCGACAAGACTGCAACGCGACCTTGCCCTGGTGATGCTAAGCAGAAGTGTGGCGGTGCCAACATCATCAGCTTCTTCGAGACCAAACTTTGCAACGCCTGCCAGCCGGTCCCATTCCCAGTAACGATCCTACTGTGCCCACGATCATCGCCCAGGCCGTCCGGGCCGCCGCGACTAAGATTTCGCCCCCAGCGGCGAGCGGCACGTGAACCGAGATTCCAGGAACCACGATGATGTAGTTAGGCTCATAAGGCTATACATAGCTTTTCCTTGGTTCGGCGGTGGCCTTCCATTGCTTGTGCAAGGTCCTATGTCTCATCAAATTATTTCTCACTTGTTACATTGGTACTATTTCGGTGAGGGATTAGATGGATACAAAGCCATGACCCAGCGCTACTGGCTTTCTATTCCTAGTTTCTTCGGACCCCAGCGATGTGTAGTTATATGATCAGCCATGATCACCACGAGAGTCGCATACATAGATACTTGAGACTAGTAGTGTAGGGGCCTGACCTAGGTTGGCTTGTATGCTATGTGCTCACGGCGGCGAAACCGGAAATTAGCTGGTACCTTTTAGTTTGCTTAGTCAGGGTGCATATTGCTCTTTTGTTTCCGTAGTTTACGAGCCTGTACTTATTATCTATTGGCTTAGTAAGGAACCGTTGCGCTTCCTGCTGCCAGGTCGTTGATATGTGACAGCTCTTATGTTTCACCACTTTAGTCAGGGGGCTGGGGGGTCATCAGTAAGTATAAGAAAAGAGAACCTTCATGCAAGATTCGCTGTGAACCAATCAGGGTTTTCAAAAGCGCATAAAGCACTGACTGCTACCGGGCATGTGCTTAATGTAATTGGATGCGGAACACGATGCCGTCTCACCCCCCTCCAGCTCGCGTACGACATCAAAAGAAAGGCCGGCATGATAAGAGGTCAAGCGTTTATTCGATCTGCCACAGACGGTTAACACTTCGTATGTGGAGAAATTTTAGTGGCGCGTCTCAGTAAGCTTTCCTCCGCCTGCAGCCACTAGCCAGTAGTTGTAACCCTGGCGATTCGCTGCTCGCAATCACGAAAGCGAAAGGTCAAGGATTGCCTCGCAGATCCCTTTGTGCAATGGTGGAACCTCGGCTCGGCGAGACGGTGGAGGTTTAGACGGAATTGCTCCCGGCTCCCAACCCTTCCGTGTTACTATGTGGCAGCGGGGTATCGGAGAGGTGATATCTTGTCCTCGTGTCCCCCGCCGAATCTGCTCTTCATTCAACGGTATCAACAACAACCTCCAGTTAGGAAACCATCGACGACATGCTGTGGCAGATTTGGCTCCCGGTCGCCGTCGCGACGGCGGTACTCGCTGTGCAGCGATTGCGCAAGAAGTACAAGCCGAGCTATGATCTACCGGTGGTCGGGTCACCTACCGACCAGAGCATGGCAGAGGCACTCGTCGAAGGACATCAGAAGGTAACGCAAGACTCTGACCGTTGGCGGAGAGTCAATCGCTGACCGGGAGCTGCGCCCAAGTACCCAGAATCCGCATTCGTCGTGCCCTCCGACCCCCCGCGCGTGGTTCTCCCAATGAACCTCTACCAGGAGGTAATCCATGCCCCGGAATCGGAACTCTCCTTCGGCGCCGAGATCTACGACATCTTTCTCGGCAAATACACCCACCTCGGCGAGCCCCGTATGGAAGTCGTCGAGGCGATCCGGGTAGACATGACAAGGAACCTATCGGGCATCCTGCTGCCCATTCAGGAGGAGGTCAAATTCGCCATGAAACAGATGTTCGGAGTGCTGGAAGACTGGAAATCCTTCAACGCCTACCACCTGGTTCTCCGCTTGGTAGCACTGATGAGCGGGCGCGTGTTCGTCGGACTCCCCCTCAGCCGCGATGAGGAGTGGATACAGGCGTCCATCACGTTCGCGACGGATTGCGGGAAATGCAGAATGGCGGCCCTGGAATGGAACCCGTGGGTGCGGCCCTGGGTGCTGCCCTTTCTCCCGGAGGTGCGCCACATGCGCCGAACGCTCCAGAAGGCCAACGAGTGGATGAGGCCCCTCGTGGATGAGGTGCTCCGGAACGAGAGTGCCCTTGAGGAGAAGCCGGCGAAGCCCGGGGCTCCTGGGGCTTTTGTGTCCTGGATGATGAAGCACACGGCTCCTCAGAAAAAGACTTCGGAGAATATGGGAACGAACCAGATGCTGTTGTCCTTTGCTGCTATTCACACCACGTCCTCCACTGCCACGTTTGTAGGTACCCCTGCTTCGAGGAGTCCAACATTGCGGTCTTGCTGATTCGCACAGGCCCTTTACGATCTCCTAAGTCGCCCCGAGTACATCGGCCCTCTCCGGGAGGAAATCGAGCAGGTTATCGCCCAGGACGGCGCAGAGAAGGACGAGGACGGGCAGATGTTCCTCTCCAAGGTCTCCCTAAGCAAACTGAAGAAGTTGGACAGCTTCATCAAAGAAAGCCAGCGCATGAACCCGCTGAACTTTGGTACGCGAGACTCCCGAGCGGCCCCAGACCAACTCGCAGCGCTGACAACCACGTAGGCGGAACATCGCGGAGACTCCAAAAGGACCAGACCTTTTCCAACGGCTTGAAGCTGCCCGCCGGAACTCCCATCTCGTTCCCCTTGTGGGGCGTCTAGTAAGTCCCGCGAATCCCAAACCCCAGCAACTAAGGGGGGTGCCATGCTGTTTCCCCAAAGCCATCAGCTTGTGCTCACGCAGCTCCAGCAACTCCTCATCGACGAACACTTTCAGCGACGCTTACAACGAGGGCACTGGCAACGCGCCGCCGACCGAATTCGACGGGTTCCGCTTCGCGCGCCTCCGCGAGCAGCCCGGGCGCGAGACGAAGCACCAGGCCGCGACGACCGGGCCCGATGCGTTCAACTTCGGACACGGACCGCACGCGTGCCCCGGCCGCTTCTTCGCTGTCTATGTCATTAAGTGCATCTTCATCGAGTTCCTCCTCAACTACGACATCCGGCTCAAGGGCAGCGGCGGCAAGGACGCGGGTTCCAGGCCACCGAATACGATCAGGAAGATGATTGTCATGCCGGACTTCGGCCGCGAGGTGGAAGTCAGAAAGCGGACGGGGGCTTGAGACCAACCGACCTGATGGCTCGGTCTCGCTGGGGTGAGGTTCGTCGCTAAAGCACTTGCTCATAGAAATACCAAGCCATGTGATACATCGATGGCAGTTGATGGTGTCGAAGCCAAGGATGAGGGCATATGCCTGACTGCATGAAAGCTCGCGCGCGCGGAAGGTTAGAGAGAAGATAGGGAAATTCCCGAGGGAAGTCGCCAGAAATGGCTGATAAATACACATATCTAATAGAATTCTGATATGCATATAGGTATAGAACGGGACATGAGCTACAGGTGAGCTTGTAGTCTTGGCGTTATGAGCCAGACTGGGCTACCAACTAAGCCAGCCAAGAGGATTTCAACGTCTACATCTCGCAAGGGTGCGACTGAGTGGGTGGTACAGACGGCCGAGCCACGATGTGCCTGGGAGTCTGACTCGCGGAGGGAGCTTCCCCCCCTTTCTTCTTCCTCTTTTTCGACCCTGAAACAAGGCCTGTCCATGTGCTATAGCGGGCCATTGACGGCGATCGCCGACATCATTTTGGGATTACTACGTACGGCATGATGGAGGGGCATCCCATGATGAAAACGGATCTGAGAAGTTCGGACGAACCGCCCATGATTTGGCCACGAGCGAAAACTCGGATCACAACAGATGGAGGTTTCCAAGAGAAAACGGAGTGTGCCTGAGTAGGTGGTGTCCAGCCCCCCCAGGACTTGGAATTTGTCCGCGAATCACAGAGGTGGCCGCACCCTGTCCGTCACATGGCTGAGATGATATCGGGCCGAGGGAAGTACCGAGACGCAGCCTCCCGTTATCCCCCTTGGAGTCGGTGTGTTGCCCTTTTGCCGCGTGCGGAGTGGGACATTCCGTTCTCACATCCATGAAAGCCAAGCCCCGTCCGTCGTCCCCGTACGAAATAAAATCATCGCGCATGACGCCGGGCAGATACGCTCAAATGGGGCAAGTGAGCAAAGTGTGGAGGCGCGTAATCAAGCTCTATTGCCTTTGGGTTACTTCGAGATCGTCGTCCCCTTGCGATCCCCTTAGGCCATATGGCGGGAATGATTTTACGCATTGGGGAGGTAGCAATTGGAAGCCAAGTTCGACCGGAATACCCATGTGATATCCAGCTTAACCATTCATATGTATACCAACCTGTCCTCTCTTGTTCCTAGAGACGATATGTGGTCATCCCAGCCGATCTCCGCTCAGCTCCGTTTCCCGCCTTGACACAGCCCTCCGTCAGTCTTCTGTGAACCATGGCAAGATCCACGGCGCTTTCGCTCTGCGCGGCCTTTGCGTTTGCTGTCGGCGCGCATTCCCAGTCTTGCATTGGCAGCACCGGGTCCAAAACATACGAGGCTGAGAACGGAATCCTTTCCGGAACCAGAATCGAGAAGGCTCAGGCTGGATTTACGGGTACGCAGGACTCCTACAGGCTGTAAGGATATTTCGTGTTGATCTGTGTTGTGAACCCAGGCACCGGCTACGTGACCGGCTTCGAGGATGCCACCGACAAGGTCACCATCAACGTCGACTGCAAGGGAGACGGCCAAAAGCTCTTGGACCTGAGCATCAGATATGCAGCCATCTACGGCGAGAAGCGCACGAACGTCGTCTTCAACGGCGGTGCGGCCAGCGAGGTGCTGTTGACTGCCGGCCAGACCTGGGCCGACGTCAACGCTGGCCAGGTGTTGCTCAACGAGGGCAACAACACGATTGACATCGTGAGCAATTGGGGATGGTAATACGGCCCATGATGACCCATCCTACACACCGCAAGGCTTGACTTACGCCGTGCAGGTACCTCATCGACTCCATCACCCTCACGCCCACCAAGGCACGCGGGCCCCACGACATCAACACCGCTCTCGTCAACCCGAAGGCCAACGCCGACGCCAACGCCCTCTACAAATACCTCGGCTCCATCTACGGCAAGAACATCCTCTCGGGCCAGCAGGAGCTCTCGTACGCCAACTGGGTCAACGAGACGATCGGCAAGACACCGGCGCTCGTCAGCGTCGACCTGATGGACTACACCCCCAGCCGCGTCGAGCACGGCACCGTCGGCACCGCCGTCGAGGAAGCCATCGCGCACCACGAGCGGGGCGGCATCGTCTCGGTCCTCTGGCACTGGAACGCGCCGGCCGGCCTCTACGACACGGAGGAGAACCCGTGGTGGAGCGGCTTCTACACGCGCGCCACCGACTTCGACGTCGCGACCGCCCTCGCGGACCCCGGCGGCGCCAACTACACCCTCATCATCCGCGACATGGACGCCATCGCCGTCCAGCTCGCGAGGCTCCGGGACGCCGGCGTGCCCGTCATCTGGCGCCCGCTGCACGAGGCCGAGGGCGAGTGGTTCTGGTGGGGGGCCCAGGGGCCCGAGGCGTGCAAGAAGCTCTATGCCCTGCTGTACGACCGGCTCACCAACCACCACGGGCTGGACAACCTCATCTGGAACTGGAACTCGGTCTCGGCGGACTGGTACCCCGGCGACGACACAGTCGACATTGTCAGCACAGACGTGTACGCCCAGGGCCATGGAGTGCGTTTCTTCCCCTCCACTGTATTCCAGCTGTTGATATTGCGACTGACATCTGTCTAGCCCATGACCTCGCAGTACAACGACCTCCTCGCCCTCGTCAAGGATAAGAAGCTCGTTGCGGCGGCCGAGGTCGGGAGCGCCCCCTTTCCTGATCTTCTCCAGGCGTACGGGGCAGACTGGCTGTACTTCTGCGTCTGGAGTGACACGTATATCAACAACCCAGAGTGGAACAGCGTCGAGGACCTGAAGAAGGTACGTGGTTCAGTGAAGCTTGATCTTGGCTCTTTTGCAGAAGTCGCGGACTAACGAAAAGGCAGATATACGACAGCGAATATGTCCTTACTCTGGACGAAATCCAGGGATGGAGAGGTTGAGGGGGTGCCAGACGGGCTGGGATCTGATTAGGCGTATTCTCTAAATACCTGCATGGTAATTGGTAATGTATGACAATTTTTATGACGAAAATCCGTGGTCACATCTTCCCCAAGGCCTAAAAAAGGGGTGTATGGGTGAGATTTGAAGACAAAATTTGTTTGAACGTGAACGACTTGTTTTGAAAGAACGAGCAGATTCCTACCTTTCGTCACGTACAATGTGGATGCATATGAGAAATCCTGCCTGGATATCCGTACGGAGTACTTGTTCCCCAAAACTGCTACGGAGACTCTGTATAAATCCAAGCTTTGTTACGACATTTGCGATTGACCCCAAACAAGCTTGATGGGAGGGCACGTAGTCAGGAGATTGCTGGGGTAGCCGGATCCTGTAGCACTAGTATCTGGAGAATGCAAAGAGCTTGGGATATACGACCCCGACCTCGCATTCACCATGTGCTATGTATGCTATGCTCGGTCGGATTCATTTTGGGATCAAACTGGACCAAATAGACATCGTTCGTCATCTGCTGGTTCCTGAGGTGATGCAGCCGTTCGCCATGTCGGGGATTGCGCGTTCCTCGAACTGCCCCGCAACATTACCGATTGGGTGATTTTTTATTTCTTTCTTTCAATACAGAAGTGGTAAGAGGAGCTCTTGGGGAGATGTTCCAGGATCTCGTGGCCGACTATCTCGTGAACGAATCGAGACCGCTATATATTATATACATATATACACGTTGGGTGCTACTAGTAATTTCCCAAACAGTTTCCAGCGACCCCCGTCTTCGGGTGCATATGTGCTATATCCCGGCGACATGTACATGAACTTTGTGTAAATGAATCTGCGACGGCATACGGATATATGCCAAAACAAAAACCATTGCGTTCGAGCCTGGTTCGTCATCTTACGCACATGACGACGAGCTTTGATCTCAACAGCCTCTTGTATACGGACCCGTGATACCAAGGCCGTACGCCGGGAGAAAAAGAGAGAGAAATATATCACATCAAAATAGAATAAAACAAAAAGGCCCGTCTCGACCAGCCAGGCAATCGGATGATGGACAGGGAAGATGGACAGCAGCAGATAGTCGCAAAATATGGGAGCTCCGCGTTGATGATTGATTCTAACGACTTGCGCGGGCACACATCCTCCCTATCCTTCACCACTATCCCAAGAGATTGGCCCTAACTAAGATGAAAAGAAACACTACTTTGACGATGGTGCAAGTCGACTACTGATAGATGTGAACAGGGTTCTGTGACCGGACCCTGAAACCAACCTCTTGTCTTCCACGGCGCCTACCCCTTGTGCATCTGCATCTGCATCCGCATATTCTCCTTTTGCGATAGGGCGTTGCTGGCCCCCCTTGTTTTACCGCTAGACGACGTCTAGCGCCACTAACACGCAAAACGACAAATGTTAACAACAAAATTGACATTAACAACCTCCTCTTCCTCCTCCTCCTCCTCCATCACCCTCCCCGCTCTCACACTCTCAGAACCCCATCCTCCACGATGGCAGACGACGAACGCAAAGACCCGAGACCGCTAAGGCTGGACGACCTCCCGCTGGAGATCCTGGCCAGCGTCGTCGCGTACTGCGAGGGTGGCGTCCCGACACACGACGAGGACCCGGCGACAGCGACGACGACGACGACGACGACGACGACGACGACATCGGCAACGGCGGCGGCGGCGGCGATGGCGCCCGGATCCCATCCATCACCGCCGCCGCCGCCGCCGCCGCCGCCGCGGGACCTCGCCACGATCCGCAGCCTGCGCTTCACCAACCGCCTGCTCGCCTCCGTCGCGGCGCCGCACCTCGTCCGCGTCCTCGACGTCGCCATGACCCCCGCCTCCCTCGCCCGGCTCGACGCCGTCTCCCGCCACCGACCATCGCCGCCGGCGTGCGCCGCCTCCGCGTCAGCCTCGCCAACTACGCCGCGCCCCTCGCCGCCGAACCCGCCGAGTCGCCCGCTTCGAAAATAATTGGCGATAGGATACCCCCATACCTAAATACCGTCCGGCTGCGGGATCCAGCAAATCTGCCCT